TATGTTTGTGCTATTGACAAGGATTTCTTGTGTTTTGTTGTAGTATTAGTAGGTGATAGGTGATTTAATTGAACTATTATCAGTTAAATAGCACATCAATTGGCGTGATAATGTAGTATTTTTGTAACTCATATATGTACTGTTTGAATTTTTTAGAAAAACATACTCCAAGTGACCAAGTGAATTTATAGACATTATTGGCTGTTAAAGTTCTTATTTTTGTTGTATCATTACTGGTGATTTTAATAATGGCTTATGAAAGCCGAAAGTACCCTGGACAACTTATATTAAAACTTTCACTAGTAACAGGAAAAATAAACAAAAATATCTTTTTTTATTTTATGCTTATGTTGATAACAGTTTACTTATGTTTGCTTAAATGTACTGCATCAGGCATCTTGACAAGGTGTAATGGTTAGAAAGCTTGTCTTGCTAGAGCACTTATGACTGAGTAGTGAGTTCAATCCTCACTGAGTGCCCCATACTTTCAGCCTTGTGCCACATCTAAGCTACATTTAGAAAATCACCATAAATGTACTGCATTTGATGGAATACAAGAACACACATTTTTATTCCCAAATTTCTCCTAGATTTTATATATGAAGTTGAGATCTCTGCATAAGGAACACTAGTCAGGTTTGAAAAAAATAAAAATTGAATGATTTAATATATTATAATGTTATATTTTTTCAATTTTAAATATCATATGATAATGTCTTTTAGCATATAAAAAAGTTTTATCTTTTTTAAAATCTACCTAATGTTCTTTATACAGTGTATATAAATATGATATCTGCTAATGAATTCAAGATTTATCTGACCCTGATTAGTGGTTTATCTGCAAAATTTGAAGTCAATCCCAAGATAAGTCTTAAATTTTTTATTTTTCTTGACTATTTTTGCTCTATTGTTGATACTGAGCACTTTACAAAAATTATCCTTAAAAGTGTTCCATTTTGCAATTTATGACTTTTTGTTGGATGTAATAGATTTGTATTATTTTAAATATATATTATATATACACGCATAACACATACAAATCAGGGATTTTTGATAATCTCAGCTCGCTTCAAAAATCTTAATAAATAGAAACTTATCACAAAATCATTTAATGATATGCCTATGCAGAGGAAAATTCTAAGAATGAAAAAAAATTGGAAAAATTAAATTACATCTTCAAATAAATGCTCATTCTTCTCACAAAATGTTTAATAGTATTTCATTTTTGTTGAAATATACATTATACAATACATATCACAACAATCCTATGATTAAAATTGCACTTGCAGAGTAAAGCTAATTGTAAAACATTAACAGTTACTAGAATTGAAAATATCTCAAATGACCAAAATTATTGAATTTCCAGTCCAATTTGTTGTTTCATTAAATATCTTCATTTTTTTTTTTTAATACTGAAAACAAATTTTTAATTGAAATCTTATAGAAATTCTAAAAATAAGTTTTAAATTTAATTTGCATGTACAAATATAAAGCCAAACTACTCTTTTGAAAATAAAATGTCTCAGAAGTAAATTTCATTCACATACATGAAATTATAATTACAGTTATTTACTATAACAACAATAAAATAAAAGATTATAGAAAATAGTAGTAAACAGTAATAAAGCAAATAGGCAAAAAAAAAAAAAAAAAAAAAAAAAAAAAGAGAAGGTAAACTGTAGGGGAATAAGAAAAACTAAACTTTAACAATTAAAATTATGAGACTTGACATTTCTATGAAATAGAATTTGAAAACTTCAAACTGCATTATTTATTAAAGGCTATTCTAGTTTTCTGAATTACATTTCAGTTTAGATAATTTTAAGCATTTAAACCAGAATTATTAGAATGTATTAGAATTATTTTTAAAAAAGTTTTTTTTTTTTTTTTTAGATTTTTTTAATGAATTTTGAGTTTGTTAATTCTTTAAAAAAAATGCAAACTTTTTCTTATTTTTTGACACTTTATGTTCTTGTTTATGATAAACAGTTGATGTCAAATATTCAACAATGTAAAAATAGAATTTGTGAAAACCACTTGAATGCTGAAACATTTTTTATTTTAATGTTAAGATTTCTCTAGTTTATGCAAGCATAATTTGTGTTTTGAAAAGGTTCAAGTTAAACAAAAAATATCAATACTAAAAGATTTTTCAACACCCAACTAGTTTTCACATATTCTTGTTTATATTAAACAAAACAAATTAGAAAATTGAAAAGGTTGAGTACTTCTATTTTCTCTAAGATTTGTATCCAACTGTACACAGATTATTGGTGTATATTCTTGTTTATAATAAATGTCTGATGTCAGATGCTGAACAAAGTATGTAAAAATGGAATATATGAAAACCACTTGGATACTGAAACATTTTGAAAAGGCTCATGTAAAATAGCAAAATATTAATAGCAAAAATAAAGTGTGGATTTCAGTCTCTGGTAGGAATGACCACAAAACACTTGCCCCGCCATATTTTATAGGCAGAAGCACACAAATGCATGCTGGGATTTTTTCCTAGCCAATAAAATAGGCCAGTTGTCATTTTCATCTGACTCAGTCCAGAACTTCTGATTCAGGCAGTTCATGGCCGACTTGTCAAACTTTCTGCCTTTGGTTAGAAAGGAACCAGACAAAGCTATGCTGAAGGGCAGAGTCACATCTGGGGAAGCAGACAAGCCCGATCCTGTGTGTGTGGGGTCTACAGGGAATTTTTGCCCAAACCTATTGGCTTGGAATCACTTCACATAAAAAACGGCCTTGTGCCACATCCTACCTTGTGGAGAGGCTAAGATAAATAACCTCAGTCCTGGTCTGTCTTGTCTTGATGTCAGAATGTTACATTCATTTGTCTGAACTTGCTTTTGTGTGTCAACCCCAATTCTTATCTTGTGAACTTTTTGCCATAATACTGTTATCTTGCCTTATTACCTTTGTCTTGTATATATTGTTTGCTTGCTTTATATTATTTTTTGCCCTGTTCCTTTCTTTTTATTGCTTATTGCAAACTTAGCCAGTTCTGTAACTTATTTTGCATTTGACTATGGCTACTCACTCCACAAAAAGATTTTTCAGTATCCAGCTGATTTTTACATATTCTTGTTTATATTGGTATTAAATTTTTAAAAATGAATCGGACATTAAAAATTTTAGTAATATTTTCTCTAACAAACAATTTTTTTTTTCAATTCAAAAGAGCCAAACATGTAATTTAAAATTAAGAACAGAAATAAATATTCTTGCTACAAGTTACAAATACAAATTAAAAAGAAATCAAATTTAATGCCAGGAAAAGGAAAAATGTATGAATTAACTAATTGTTAAAAACAGCTAATGATTTTACTTTAATGTAAAACAATAATGATATATTTATAAGAATTTTAATTGCAACACAGGATATTGTCTCAATGTTTTTTTAAAAAAAAATTTATACACAATAAAATAAATATGAATAAAGACATTAAAATCTTCAATGCAAAGAATGTAATTTCATGTCTACATCATGGAATTGTTGCAAATGGCACTTTATACTGTAATGACTAATGTCCTCATTTTTGTTTTTATTTCCATAATATTCAAGCTGTTGTGTGCTCCAGCCTTCTTCAGGTGTTTGTCAATCTGTGTAACCTTTAGGGAATTTTGAACTGAACCCTTTATTTTACCTATAATTGTTCTCAATCTACTGTTCATATCTAGGGATATCTCATCTTGTTCTTTTAGTATTGCTCAGTTATTGAGTCTTATTCTGTACTACACAGCCCAGGAATTGAACTCATAATTACTGCCAAATTCATCAACCCAATGCTTTAATCTTCAAGGCTATTGTACCATGGGACAATCCTGAGTTTATAACTGAGAGTTTTAAGTCTAATATCCTTATTGTCTACTTACTGATGCTGCTTTGATATTATACTTAACCACTTTTGGCTGCCACTGCTGAAACACTTGCTACCAAGTTGGATCTCGGTCATTTCTCTTTCTTTATGCTCAAGATGGACAATGGACTGAGAACAATCTATCTAGTCACTGAGATTAAATAAAGGGTTCAGTTCAAAATTCCCTGAAGGAAAGCTAGGTAGCATAATGGTCAAAACTTTGTAATAATGACAAAAATGGGGACAATGTTTATTTTTTTTTATCTTATTTCTGAGTGCCGTTTCATCACCAGGTACCTTCACAAAGGTTTTGTTTTGTATAATACATTTTTTTTCCGACCTCACTCTATATCAGTGTTTCTCAAACTTTTTAAGCAATGGCACACCTAGGAGCAAACGAAAATATAGCAGCACACTTAGCAAAATTTTTAAAAGGTATGTATTTAAATGTTATGAAATAAAACCATTTAAAAAACACACACACAAATATGAATTTACTTTATTTCAATGTCTCTATTCAACTATTGTGTAGCTTATTTAGTGTGAAACCTATGTCTGGTGTTTTTTGTATGCCATGACAATATTTTGTGGCATGCTTAAGAGGATTGCGTGGCACACTAGTTTGCTATGGCACGGTGACTGAGAATCACTGTTTTAGATAATGAAGTCGACAAAATTGCAGTTAATTGAAAACGCCATAATCTTTTCAATGGCTATATAATATACACTTCACTAGTTACATTTTGAATTCAAAGTTTTCCTTCTAGACTGGTTGATTGCCATAGAGGGCCCAGTCTTCCCTGCTATTTAACTCATAGTTGGGGTGGGGGAAGAGATGGATTTTTCAAGAGTATATGTATGAAAGCGAATGTAATGAAATTGGTTGGAATTCAAACCGAGTTTACTAATTTCTCTTTATGAGCTGCTAATAATTACAGTACTCGTATGGCCATAATGAGGAATCTTGTCTGAATGTAATAATAACTCCTCACCGCAGAAATTCAGACAGACAATAATTAATATCAAGATAATTAATGAATCCTGGACTTTCAAAAGAGAATACTTGAACAGAAATTTTGGTGGAAAAAAAAAAAAAAAAAAAAAAAAAGAAAAAAATTATGAAAAGCTTACCTTAAAAGCTTCAGAAGAATCAAAGTATGATGAATAGCTATCTAAATAATAAGAACGCTTTTCCCTGGCAACAATGTTTTCAGAATCTGTGTCAGTTTTTTCATCTTCTTTCGATTCAGCAGAATCTATGCTATCAGGAATTGCAGGTGGCATTCCAGGACTTTCAATAACGAGTGGGGGAATCCCAGCTGGAGGCATGCCTGTAGGTTTTGTAAAAGAAATTTAAAACAATTTGATAATTCTTCAATTGATCCATTTTCAACTCTCTTTATGATTATTAGGTTGAGTGAAAAGTAATTTTTTCTTTTTTGGAACCAATTGTAATGACAAATGTATCATCCTAACTATTGATCATATATGACAGTTAAGAATAAATTTTGCACATGTAGTGGGATTGATGGGTTATTATTATTCATTTAAGAGTTTTTAAAATGCAATTAAACACTAAAAGCACATTTATACATCCAGTAGCTGTAATGTGTCCATGATAGTTTGGTGAAAAAGTGTCCTTTGATAAATTTAATAAACAAAATTGTAAATTATTTAGTTCTCAACCTAATATATACAAATATGTTTATAGCATCTAATGAGGATTGAATTCACAATACTTAAACTTGTCCGAGAAATAAGCTCATTAATCATAATGTCATGGTAAGAGTCCCATATATTCATTCAGAAATGAGAAAATAAAATGTTAAATAGACAGACCTTGTTGGTTGAATTAAACGAAACTTGTTTGGAGTTGATTGAAGATCAGAAAAATATATCTTGAGAATTTTTCTCCTTTTAATTCAATTCTGTTATTTTTTTTTTTTTTTCACTGATGGTTTAAGATTATAGATATAATTTCTAATATCAATTCTCCAAGTATTTTTAGCCACTTTGGCCATCTTCAGAGAATAAAGTTGTTTTCAATAATTATTTCAAAATACAATGCCCAAACTATTAGAAATAAGATACCAGAGAAAGAAAACACCTATTGAAAATGACTTTGCTTTCTGAAGATGGCCAAAGTGGCTAAAAATACTTGGAGAAATAATATCAGGATATACATCTATAATCTTGAAACATCAATTAAAAAAAAAATAACTTAAAAAAAAAAAATCTTCTCAAAAAACATATTTCTATGTTCTTTGATTACATTTGCATACACACACTAACATAGTAATTTCTAAAGAATCGATTGATTTAATTTTAATCCAAAATTTTTATTACTTCAAACATTATAATAGTGGACATTGTATTTGAAATAGACACCCCATAGTACCAGTCAAGAATGACTGATTTATTTATGTATGGATAAATTATACAAACATATTCTGTGTGTGCAAATGTTCTCAGCATCTTTTTTGTTTTTAAATAGAAACTGAATATACAAATACATAATAGAATTTATTTTAATAAAAATTCTGCAAACTTTTACACACAGCCATGGCCAAAATTATGGAGCACCTATAAAAATTTGAGATAATAGTTTAAACCTACGTATTTCAAGGTTAAGAATCGTACAGTGAACAATTGAGAGCAAATGTAAAATATTTAACAGTAGATTGAAGTATTTTTTTTGCTTTAAAAGCCTCTCTCAAGAGCTTTAGCTGAGTTTAAATACTAAATTCATTCCAATATTCAAAATGATTTATTGTCATACTAAAGGTTGTTTCGTAATTTTCGGGTAATATTTGATTTCTACCAATGTATATTTAATTGAAAATGCCTCCAAAGAAGCAGCTTTCAGAGATTAAAAGGGCACAAACTGTTGCTTTATCTGGTGAAGGATATTCTCAGGTAGAAATTGCCAGGAAGATGGAATGTTCAAGGAAGGGGGTTCAAACAACAATTAAAAGGTACAAGGAAACAAAGTATTTCAAAAACAGAAAAGAACAAGACCGTAAAAAGTCTACAACTGCCAGGGAAGACAGATCTTTGAAAAGAGCATCCCTTGCAGATAGGAGGAAAAGTTCTTCAGAGCTTGCTGCTGAACTTAGGGAGGATGCAAACAAAAACATATCTGCTCGAACAGTGAGAAGAAGGTTATTAGAAGTGGGATTAAAAGGATGCAAAGCCAGGAAGAAGCCATACTTGTCTCAGGCCAACAAGAAAAAATGACTGGAATTTGCAAAAAAAAAAAACATGAAAATTGGACACCTGATGATTGGGGCAAAATTGTTTGGTCTGACGAAAGTAACTTTGAGGTAAGTTAGCAGCTTCTATTTCCTAAACTTTGGATGTAATAATTGAAATTTTTATGTGAATACACATTCATAACATTTATTCAAAAATTGTAATTCTTTTTATTTTTATCAGATTTTTGGCACTCCTGGAGTGGTTTATGTTTAAGCTAGAGAAGGAGGCATTTCATCCTGATTGTGTGGTTCCAACTGTAAAATTTGGAGGAGGAAGCGTAATGGTTTGGGGCTGCATGGCTTCTTCAGGCACTGGAATGTTGTACACATGTGAGGGCAGAATGAACTCCACAATTTATACTAACATGCTGGACCAGGTTTACCGAACCTCTTTGACTAAAATATTTAATAACAACATTCAAGTGATGTAATCTTCCAACAAGACAATGCTCCATGCCATATGTCAAAAGTTTCAATCTGTTGGTTTTGAGAAAAAAGGGAGTACAGTGATGAAGTGGCCCCCTCAATCCCCCAGACCTAAATCCCATTGAAACTTTGTGGTCCCATTTAGGGAAAAAGTGAGAATGGACAAATGTTCATCAAAAAAAAAAAGAATTAGAGGCCAAACTTCATGAAGATTGTCAGAAAATAGATCCTACCACCTGCAACAACTTAGTCAATAATATGCAAAAACGAATAAAAGCTGTTATAAAGGCGAAAGGAGGACATACCAAATATTGATTGTTGTTATTAATGTTTACTCCACTATTCTTAACCTTTAAATATATAAGTTTGAATCATAATTTCGATTTTTCATTGGTGCTCCATAATTTTGGCCAAGGCTGTATATAATAGCTGGCCACTCATATTCAAGGATACCGTCTACTAGGGGCAGCTAGCCAATCCCTATTGCAGACTCTCACTCAAGCAAATTTGTGTTTGCTCAACACTCACAGAGCCAACCTGTGCAACTATGCTGAGCAGACCTTAGTTACAGTTTCTGGGAGAGAATGTGTTATCTAAACTGATCAACAATCTGAATAACACCAGCACACTCAAATCCTCGGTCACGAGGACTTGTGACTTTGTGCTAGCACAGCTATCGACAGCCCCAAGTGTTCCGTCTATCCAATTCCATTTACAAATCTTGGGTCAACCCATGGTATGGTTTTCAGTCACTTTCCAAAGGTGTTGCATGCTGGGATCATCCCCACTCCAGACTGATAACAGCAGGAAGTCTCTTGTGAGTGTACAAACCTTTCTCCAATTTTTGTGCACATTGACGCAGACTGGGATCTAAACACAATATGGGGTGATTTGTCCAGCCAGTGAAAGACTAAGAGAAGTCTTCAATCTGTTAACTGACAAAATTTGCAGCTTGCATGTGCATAGGTAACTCAAGAAATAAGCTTCTAAATAATTCAATTTTAGAATAGATTTAAATTAAGGCAGCATTGTTATATATATATATATATATATATATATATATATGACACAATAGGGCACTTTGACGTAGTGTAATGGTTAAAAAGCTTGTCTTGCTAGAACAATTACAACTGAGTAGTGAGTTTGGTCCTCACTGGGTACCCCCATACTTTCAGCCTTGTGCCATATCTAAGCTATGCTTAGAAAATCACTATATATATTACAGAAATTCACCCAACACAAGGTTTGAGAGCCACTGAATGTATGTGAGAGGAATGTAAGACAAAATTAAGATTATGCAGACATAGAGGATAGATAACAATTGACCTCTGACCTGAAGAGCTAAAGATTGTAGTGTTCAGAGAAACTTTAACATGGTAGCCTGTTCCACAAAGTAGCAGTTCTTGGGTGAAGGTTGTTTGAGCTGAACTTCTCCCTTACAACTGGAATATGGAGGAAATGTGGATGATTTGACTATGGCATATCCTAACTGTAAAGGTCTGAACTGGAGGAACTAAAAAGTAGAGCTCATCTGAACATTTGCCATGGAAATATCGATAAAGTAGGGAAATAGCCTGCAGAATAGAAAATATGTCATGCCCCATCATATAAACAATTTTGAATTCTATCAAGCCTGGAAAGTGAATATTCAGCAGCTCCAATCCATATATGGCAGCAATGCTCCATTTTTGGTCTAATGTTACTCTTGTAAAAAATAAAGCATGGTAGGAGTCTGGTACTTTCTGAAGCCATAGAATAAGCTGACCATTTTTCCAGCATCTTTAGCAATGGATCATATATACAAGTACCACTTGAGGTCTGGAGTGAACTTGTGACCGAATAGATGCTCAAAAGCATGAATAAAATTGGAAAAAATTTTATTCTGTAGTGAAAGCTAATATATCAATTTCAACTGAGTTTATTTTAAACTGAACACAAATCATTTGCAGCAGTCAATTTATATATAATAGAAAAACTTTTTGTCTGTCAATTTTAGTCTTGTCATCAGTGTTCAATGATTATCTTGAAATTTTTAGGAGTCATTAACACCAACATACATACAAATGAAAATGTAAAGGACAAAACTGTTCTTTTCTCACCCCTTATTCATAACAACCTATTTTCCTTACAAGTAAAGAAAAATAATATAGAAATAGAAAAGGTAAGAAATTTTTATATCAAAGAATACTATTTCCTTACCTGGAGGTGGGAATGGAGAATAATTTTGACAATGTTCTTGGTCTGAGAAGAGATGGCTTGCAGGCTGAAGTTTGTAGTGTTTTAAGTTTTCAAATATCTGAATAAAGCAATAATAATTATGCCAAGAAATGTAATGTAATTTTCAATTTGTCATGAAAATGCTTATAAATATGCATTTATTTCAGTTTAAACATTTTAATGTGTAGCTAAAATGCTTAATAAATTACGAAATAAAATCAAACTATATAATAATTATCAAGTGTATTTGTTATATATTTTTGGACCCTTCTGTAATGGGAAGGGAGATAAATCAACTTAAGTAGGTAAATTAGTAAATTTATGAGAGATTATAGTCATTTTAAAAATCTATACAATTAAAATATTTATCTGAATTCAGACAAAATTAATTATCAAGCAAAATGAACCATTTAATTAATCAGTTCCTTTACTCCTACATTTTTTATATTGCAGTGTTATATGTTCAAGCCTTTCATGTGAAGCACTCAGATACCTTTGTCTATTAAGTGATCATCTTGCCTCAAGTTAGTCTTGAAATAGATTTTGTCATCACTGTCTTTGTCATTCTGTTGCTAATCTTTTTCTTTTAAGAGAGATTTCCAGTTCACCGTTATATTAAACACATAAAATTTTTAACATTAAAAGATTCTGAGCAAAAAGCCATTCATATAATACCAGGAATAATCAATGAATCATAGATACCATTGAACGTCTAAAAAATATAAAGAAAACAGATTAATTAAATGATTCATTGGCCTCTATTATAATTGTGAATTCTTGATCTCCAATTTATTGACCCTCAATACATTGTTTCAACACTTTTGTTTCATTCTATCTCACTATTAGGTTTTTTCAACAATTGACATCATTTTTGATGGCATGGGTAGACTAGTAATAAAACAATCTACATACAGAATGAAATTTGAAGTAACAGTGAAAAACATAAGTACAATCAAATCTCTCTTCAGAACAAATGACAGATCAGCAAAAAAAAAGAAAGAAAGAACTAATCTTACAGCATTATTTTTTATCTAAATTTTGTTCAGATGGCTGAAACTTGGCCTGTAACAGACTTTATCAGTTTATAGTATATAGCTTTCATCTTCCATCTGATCAGCCCTTCAGCTTATGCATTGATCATCTTGCATGATTTATTTCTGCATCTGATTATATTTTACCAGTTCCTTCCAATGCTCTTAACACCCTCATACCCCTTCAGTGATGAACTATTAAGTTTAGATTGAAGGATATGCAAGATGGGCACATTTTCCCCTCATTCTTTTTAGCCAATTATCTACAAGTTCTGTCTGAAAAGTAACAGGACTGGGTGTACTATGGCAAAAGAGGAATAAGTGGATTGTGCTATCATCTAATATGAAGCCTTGGAAGTATCTAACCATAATCTTAGCATTCTCCAACCACTGCATTTCTTTTACACATGCTTTTTTGGCAGGATGAATAGTGGCTGCTTCATCACAACAAAGCACCTGGTCACAATGACCTGAGCATCCAGCTGTTTCTGGCTGAGGAAAACCTCACCAGACTGGAACAACTTCTCTATTCACCTGATCTTGCTCTGTGTGACTTTACTTTTCTCCAAGCTCGAGAGGATCATCAAGAGGAACTGATCTGAAGTTGTGGTGACCATCAAGGGGGCTGTAATGGTGAAGCTGAGAGGCATCCAAAAAGAATCCTTCCAGCAGTACAGAGAAGCATGGCAGAGAACAAAAAAAAATAGTGCATTGGACTCAAGGGGGGTTACTTTGAAGGGGAAACCATGTAGTTTGTTGTTTGGAATTGAAATAAATTGTTTGTGACACCAATCCCATTAGTTTTCAGACAGACGTTGTATACTACCTGCTGGTAAAACAGTAGTTTGCTTTTTCAACTGGTCTTGACATTAGTATTAAATAAGGATACTGCATCAGCAAGGCATCAATTTCACAGTATGGTTGAACCTTGCAAAGTTTCTCAGCTGTACATCATTAATGCTAAACTATGAGTACTTCTGTGTCATGACAAGGCAATAAGAGTGGACTTTGCAGAAATAAATAAAAAATAAATAATAAAGAATTAAATAGTAGAGTAATAAAGAATTATTCTTAATTGTAATACAAGGTTAATTTAAATACTATGTTAAAAGTATTGTTACAATGTTAATAGTATTAAATAGTATGTTAAGAGCATTAAAAACGATGTCTATTTTCTTTGCTCCTTTGACTCCACATCATATTGATTACATCTGTTAAGAGCTGTTGTTTCCTCAGAGCTTTAAAAATGATATCCATTTTCTTTATTGCTTTAAGCCAAATCATATTAATTACACCCATTATGAGCTGTTGTTTTCTTAGAGATTCAAAAAAGAGATCTATTTTCATTGATTCTCAGACCCCAAATAAATAATACTTAAATAAGCAAACAATCATATTTTGATTATGTCTATGATAAATGTGTTTTCTTATCAATTTAAAACAAACATCCCTGCATATATATTTTGAAAAGATTTCCAGTCCATACTAAAATCTGGTTGTATACAGCTTGGATATTTCTAAACAAGTTTTGCACCATGCATGGTATCCATATGAAAGTCTCAATCTGATGAGTCTATTTAAGAACAAGACTCAAATTTTCAGGTTAGTGTTTTGGTTTTGTAACAATTTGCAGTGAAATTTGAATGAAACTACCTCTAGTGCAATTTATTTTATGTTTAATTTCCTGATTTCATATACTGAATTCATATACTGATAACAAACAGATCTACTAATAGACAGTGATCCTGGTTTCCTTTCCAAGACCAATGTATTGATGATGAGGGTGAGGTGGGGGTGGCTATGTTGATGATATAGGTATTCATAATTGGGATAAGAATGATCTTGAAAAGAAAATCAACGTTCTAGGAAGTAGGACTCAAGATAAACCTTTCCAAAGCAGAAACTATGATCTGTAATCACCGCCACCAGAGGGGAGAAAGGGAATAAGGAGAGAGGATGACAATCCTGATATTCAGATGTGAATGGGTGTCGATGATGAAATAATTTGGAAAATATATTTTAATAATCCTGTCAATGTTCTTAATACATACATTGTACAGTGACAACTGTATTAGGCTATAGACTTGTTGATTCACTCTTGTATAATTAATAGTTCTTCATAATTTTACCTTATCTGGTGTAATTTGGTTGTTTCCGCCAAGAAGATGGACACTTTTGTCTACCATTCCAATGGCACACAAAGAAAATGGAGTGGCTCCTATTGTCATCTTTGTATTGCTACCAGGTTTCACATTATTCTTGTTAAATGTCATGTTCACCTAAAAATAATAAATAAATATATAAATAAAATAAACAAATATTATGACATATTTTTCACCCAATAATGCATTGCTGGTATATTTTTTGCTAAGGAAATGAATTGTTGGTATGTAAATGTATTGTTAGTAATTTTTTCACTAATTGGCAATAGTTAAACAGTTAAAAGTCTGTGTAATGCATGGAATGAAGTAGATTAGCTGTTCTGGCTGTGTGTTCAAATTCCACTTGTTATTTTGTAGCTATAGAAAATGAGCTATTAAAAGTTAGAGAGGTGTGTCCTTTTAATTGAAAAAGCATGACAGTGATACACTGACATTCCCATTTATTTGTGGGTGGGTGTGGTATATATATATATATATATATATATATATATATATATATATATGCATGCATGCACTGACACTCATAAGAAGTTTATCTGTCTTTGACAGGTCTTCTTGTTTTTTGTTCTTTGGGGGTGATGACTCCTCATCAGCAGAAAAGTTAGTGGGGGGGAAATGGTTTAGATACCAACCACTTGTCCATGTGTAAGGTTGTACTGGGGGTTACATGCTCCCAGTAGCAGGCCTAAGCCTGACCTGACCATAATACAGGACAGTATTAAAATATCTGTCTATATTTCTGAGTATTGTAACTATTTGCACTATTTACACGGTTCAAACTTTTATCCTCATCTTTATTGTCATATTACTTGAAGAAGGCCCGAGTGTACAATGGCCAAAACATTGTGAATATGACAGTAAAGATGAGAACAACAGTCCAAATAGTGTAAATAGTATTAAAATATTTTAATCAAATTTTTACTTCTGTATTGAAATTATATTAAAAAAAGTTTCACTCAAAAAGAGTAATAAAATCTTTACCTTGTTTTTGAAACAATTCTGAATTGGAATTGAAATGCTATCAGCTACTGTTTCTCCATCAGGTCTGATATAATAGACTATCAAGCTGGCTTCAGGTCCCCAATCTGACTCAATACGTAAGGACTGCTTGTATATTTTTTTGGGAACATCAGTCATGGTTACTTCTTTTGCGTTAAGCTCAACTGAAAGGAGAAAATAAGTCAGTTTATTCAGTCACTGTAAAGTGAAAGAAAAAAGTTTATGTTAACAAAGGGTTAAAATGGTTTCTGTCTTGAAACAAAACTGGATGATAAAATCATATTTTAAATTGCTGCTGTGGAATTCAAACTTAATTATTTTTTAATGATTACATTTAAACTGAAAGTCATTATCAATTATATATAAAAATAGTTTTTAATTTACATAAAGTGAAATAATTTTATTTCCTGTAAAAGACCTTAGTATAAGATGGTCTTTCTTGAAATCTTCAGTAGGTGGATTTTTTTTTTTTGTAATAGATATTATTTTGAGATAAACTTTAACATATTCATGGAACACAAACTGAAGACTGAACTCCTGCACTATCAGTGAATTCATCACGGTCAATGATAAGGAGTGATGTGGTTGCAAAAATTGTCTGACAGCCATGACTGGGTTCTCCTGCTTCTGTGACAGGGTGCAGAGCCCTGTTGCCAGATATAGTCTTTTAACAACCACCCTCTTGACACAGGGCAGCACTACCTCCTCAAGGCACTTGATGTAAGCTTCCCTGTTGAGTCCGAGGCCCTGTGGGAAGATGAATGGAGGCATAACATCACCATCACTAGTGATCACTCCAAACCCTTTTTAATCACCATTAGACTCATGCAACTCTTTCTGAATCCTCTGCACTGTCCTCAGATTGATACCCAAACAGTCTGAAATGGTTGTATTGGAGTTCCAGTGCCAATGCCAAGCAGTACAGCATTCAGTTTCCAAATTTCTGGCAGAGTGATTTGCATCATGATGCTCTTTTTCTCACAGATGGTGCCCAACTGACCCTACTATACTGTGCAGTCAACAAAATCAAAAACAAACAACATGCATGCACAAAATTAAATATAAAATGGCCACAATTTACCCATCGCATCCTGTATATATTAAATAATTCTGAAATAGTGCTGTCATAATGGTTGGCTATGTGACTATTAGTTTTATGCACACCCAAATTCACAATCATCAATTCACTGCTAACAACTTTCTAGAGTTACTGGTATTTCTTCCTACCAGGTCATTCCAAGATGTTATTAGCAGAAGTCAGTATGGATGCTCATAACCCATACCCCACATAACCACCTAATACCAAATGTCAAAAGATGATATAGCCATTTTTCAAGACTTATGTAGATGTTAAAATCTGCCATGTGAAAAAAAATAAATAAATAAAAATAAAAATCACCAGAACAGAAAAACAGTGGATTCCCCAAAAGAGTGCTCAATATTACAGAGGTCACTAGGCGACCATCAGTGCAGGGTCAATTATGATAAAAGTGCTCAACTCAGTTTCTTTGGGTAGATGGAGCTTCAGTCCAGGAAGGGATTTTATTTAGAAGGAAAACCCTGATTTAAAACTTCCATTGCTTCTAAACACTGAAAAGGTTATCTGAAAAGTAAAATCCAGAGTGGAACCCACAGTTGGATATCAATACTAACAAAATTTCTGGCAACTCCTATAGCCAAGACAGCCCCAAATATAATCCCCTGTATTCCACTGGATCTTGTCAGTAGAGTGGTGACCATGTAGCCTGTTCAGCACATAGCTTTCATATACCATCACCCAAGCCTAAGCCCTGGAGAGCTCACTCCAGTTTTGACCAAACAGGGTTCTAAGATTATACTGCAAGGTACACAGACGCCTACTAACGTTTGACTTACATGGTTAATATTCACATTGGATTATGTTGCATTAAGAAAAAAATGATTATGCTGAAAAATAAATATCTGATGTGTAAAATAAATTTTTTCATTATAAGACTACAAACTTACTGAGGTACATACATGTCTATGTCAAATCCATTGATCTATGTTTATTCACTCTCCCTGCCACAATGTCTAAATATCTTCAACATAATAATATACATACAAAAAGATATCACATATTGAGGATTATATCAATGATAGTAAAATACAAATTCTGAACAAGAAAACTATTTTAAAATAAAAAATAATATCAAGCAGAATTTAAAATATTCACTTACATAATTACTTAAGATATATATATGTAACTTACCAGATTGTATTGTCTCTATGAGAGTTTCAGGAGATTTTTCCTCCTTTTTCATATCCTTCATTTTTTTTAACAAGCTAAGTTTTTTCTGGTCTTCATGTATTTCATCAAAAACCACTGGAACAGTTACTGGGGTGGAGGTGGTGTCAGCGGGCATTTCTGTGGTAGACTCAGCTGTTGCGTCTGTTGGAATTGGTTGTTCAATTAACATGCCTTCAGATACTTCAATTTCTGTTTCCACAGAATCTTTGTGGAACCATTCACCAGTGGAGATAATTTTACCACGCGACAAAATCTGTTAATGCAAAAAAAAAAAATTAAGATGGAGTTTTACTGCATATTTCAAGTAAAATAAACGAATAACCAAATGATATTGTTATGCTAATAAAGTCTCAGGGAAATTAGTTTTATGTCATATCACTCTATGAGGTACCATGTAACCCAGTACTATCTACCACATGGTTGGGTCATCTCGCATCTAAACCAGTACCCCCTCCCACTAGACTTTTCTGGTGAGGGAGAGTGTCTAGACACCCAGCAGAATTAAAAACAAAACTTTTCAAAGGGTGGATGAAGCTTCTTGTAGGGTTAATAGCACTTTAGCCCAATGGAGTAGATGGAGTTCCATAGCTATGTATGTAACCAGTGTGGTGATCACTGGACAGAGTACATCCTAGACTGAAGTCAATGGACAGGGAAGAATGTTCCGTTGGTGACAAGCATTCAAGTTGGAGAATATTGGCCATGGTTTGACCTGGAGAAGAATAGGTTCTGCCAGGTCTACTTGACATCCCCCCAATACTATGCCTGAATGCATACTTCTTTGGATTCCAACCTAGATATGTGGAGGAAGCTGGCCAAGTTCTCAGCAGCCCAACAACTATAGCTGGTCATGAGACTACTGATGATGATGAACCAAGTTAATTTCAGGACCTTTTATTTATCACTTGATAGTATAGAAAAAGTAGTTTTATTTTGTGTGAATGGGATTCAACCAAAAGAAGAGAACATTGGCAAAGAGAAAAGGCAAGAGGGTAGTATGATCTAAAATACACTGTGACTAACATTAGCTACTTTCAATTTTTCATAATTTTTAGTAAATCTAATGAATGGATTCACTGATGAGACATAAAACACAGTTACAGTTGGAGTATCATATAAATTCCCAGACATTGAATAATAATTAATAATAATAGCATTGTCACTATATATATATATATATATATATATATATATATATATATATAGTGTGTGTGTGTGTGTGTGTGTAATATTTTCAAATATAGTTATAATATATATAGTGGACATGTTATTAGAACATTAGCATTCCCACTATGAAACCCAGGTTAGTGGGAGCATGGCTGAGTAGTTAGCATTCTGCCTATGAGATATGGGTTAAAATGTCACCATGGTCAATTTGTCAGAGAGGTAAGTATTGTTGTATAGCCTCCTTATGTTGGGAGGTCTTGGTCACTGCACCAATTAATACCATGTTGCATAGCCCCCATCATTCTGGGGAGCTCTTGGCTGACAGCACCAATTCACTCATACATTGCATCTTTTCTCTCTTGTCTTCTCGTGGCAAAAATGTTTTTTTTTTAAGTCTAGAGATATAACAACTTCAACACAGGGAATTTTAACTTAACTAGTTTATTAATGTTGACATATACATCTTCTAACTAGCCAGTGGGGTTGCTCTCCCTCCACTGGGAAACCATTTCAGACACGAAAGCAAACACATCTACATTATTTGACAGTTAAGAAACAACTCACTGAAAAACCTTTCTATATCTCTATCATTTTCATGCTTGTTCAACCAGTCAAAATCGATTTCCTTATTTTGTCTTCTATCTGACCCCTAAGGTCAACTTGAGGAAATCAGAGCAGAGATACACTTCCCCTTAAAAATAATAGTCTGCTAAACTATTATTTAACAGAGACTATGTGGCACCATTTGGAAGTGTCTAAAAACCATACCACAAGAAAATATTTGTAATTATTTCTTTATATATGAAATAAATCCCTGTTTATATAACATTTAGATAAAGATATGGATGGGAAATGAAGATTGGAAGGGATAAGGAAGAGAGTGAGAAAATACAGACAAAGAGTGAGAGAAGAACTGAGGCATGAGATAATAGATAATTTTAGTTATCAACAGTCATGAAATGACTATAGTCCTAGTTCATTTATATTAATTCAAATCTTACTAATAACTCCATAATAATAACTCATTCAACTTTGTAATATAATACTTACATGGTAGAAAATTTTAAAATCTTCTTGGTTTTCTTCAACATTGTAATAAAAAACGGCATCAACAGACTCCTTACACATTATTTTTTTATATATAGACTTTATCCACACAAAGCTCTGGCTGGGCGAATACCACTGTTGCATGGAGAAGGAACCAGAAGTGTAATCAAGGAAATAAACATCTGAATCCTGAATTTCTACAGGGTCTCTCTCTTTACTTGTTTCAGGAATGATCTGAAATTCAGGAGGGGAAAAAAAAGAAAAGATATATTATCATGAATAATTATCATTTCCTACTACCTTCCTTTTCATTCAAATCCAACAACTCATTTATCATTACCATTTTAACAGTAATCCTCTACTTTGAGTGGCTCTTGAACCTTGTATTAGGTGAATTTTAGTACCAACAATAACTATGCACCAAATGACAGAAAACAAAAAATATTTTACTTTTATATAATACCAATTTATAAGTTAGCAAATATGGTATTTTCAGTAACAAGTTTTCAGCACCAAACTACATCAATGAATATCTTCAAACATTACATTAAGATCCCTTTTTTGAAACTCACACCTTATCTTCATTTTGTCCTCTGCACACTGCCATGACTAATACTTGCTTTTCATTGATGCAATTCCATCTCTGGGGAATCTCTAATGTTCTATTCTTGGCCTACACATGTCAGTGAAAAAAATATATATTATAGATTTTCTTATGGTTTAAAAGCCTTACTGAAATCATCATTTTGTGGAACAAAACAGGGTCAAGTAAATTTCTGAGTCACCATTCTAACATTATTCAAATCTGTTCAGAGTTTATATTTTTTCTAATACAATTGTTTACATAAGAGATGAAAAGTTCTCAACCCATTAGTTTACCTGCTTTGCCCCATTTTTTTGAAATTCATATCATGTCTTGATTTTTTTCCTCTGCACACTACTATCACTAATACCTGCTTTCCAATGATGCTATCTAGTTTCTGGGGAATCCACATAGACGTTCTATTCTTAGCTTACACACATTAGTGAAAGAAACACTGGCAATAAAGGGATTAATTATTTCCCAATTAAGAAAACAATCAAAGTTAAAAACAATGAGTAAATACATTTTTTTTGTTCAAATATCCTTTCATAAATAGAATTATTTAAACTACATAAAAATAAAAAGTACTAATTGAACTATTACAGGGGGGGGGGATCTCCATATATAAACAATCTGTTCTGGAGTTTCATTTGTTATGTCAGTAATTGAACTGATTGATTGATTGATTTTTTTTTTTTATGACTTATCAACTTTTTACAGGTTACTTAAAACCAGAAAATATTTTTTGATTGTAAGTATTTTTTGGAGATATCAATAATTTACTAATACAAGTCCAACTAATTAATCAATAGCTGGGGGTAGAAGAGGTGGATTCATACCTTTCTCAAAGGTATTTGTGCATAAGTGAATATAACGAACCCAACTGGAAGTGGAACAGTTCTCAGATTTCCAATTCCAAACCATTATCCATTATATCACCTGCACATCCAATTATAATGCATCTTGTATTCCCAAGAGGTCGCCCATCTAGGTACTGACCAGGTTCAATGTTGCTTAACTTCAGTGATCATATGAGAACTGGTGTTTCAATGTGATATGGCCGTCAGCAATTGAAATAAATATAAATAGGCATAATCCATTTCAAGCCCCAACCAAACTGAACATAAAAGCATATGAAAAACAAAAACAAACAGCAAATACAAAATTATATACATCTTACTTATTATAAAACACAGATTATGTGTGTGTCTGTACGTTTATATATTGGATCGGATTTCCTACATTTTTCAACCGATTTCAACAAAACTTCACAGGACTGCATAAATTACCTTGCGGTGGTTCTGACAGTGTCAAAAATTGGAAAAAACATAATTGTTTTTGCATGAAATCAATTTGAAAACACGATTAAGAGGCATCGCTTTCGCAGAATGAAAGGGGGACAACTCATATCAAGTTATACTTATTATAAAACCCAGGTTGTTTGTGTGTGTGTGTGTGTGTGTGTGTGTGTATGTTCATTTATATATGGGATTGGATTTCCTACATTTTTCAACCGATTTCAACAAAATTTCACTTTTTTTTGGCAGGTAGTGTTTCTTATTGTCTTGCACACTTTTTTTTTTATTTTTACATTCAGAATGCTTTAAAAATTCCATTTACAAGACAATTGTTTATAATAAAATTCTATTCAATCGATAGACTCATAACGATTAAAAACAATGTTTTTGTTTGAGTTTGGGTTTGACCAATTTGTAAAAAAAAAGAAAAAAAAAAGAAAAGAAAAAACTAATTAAGACATGCGTGTCTGTCAACCTTAAACAATAATCTTTGTCAATTTTATTTTTCAGTCTTCATGATGGTCGATACTTGATCTATCTCTTACTGTTACATCCCCAGGCAACGCCAGGCTCTACTGCTAGTAAAGAATAAATACACAAATAAACTGAAGCAAGAAAATCCAGTACTATAGTATCATTTCCATTAGCAGCATTAGCTCTAAGGTCATAAAACAACTGTTTCAGCTTTGCATAAATTATACTTATAGTATCATCGCCAACATTTTTTTTCTTCAATCTACACCAAAAATAAATTTTCCATCTCTTTAATAAAATTGTGATATGATTTGCCAAATTTGGTTATTCCCTTAACCACCAGAAAACAATTTTTTTTTTCTTATTTTTGCTTATGGTGCACATTGTTAAATTTGCCATTCCATAATCTGCACTATGTTTGCTAACTCTTGTTCTACTTTCATGTTTAGAAAATATTTCCTTCTTAATTCCAATAGTTCTCATTTCTCAATTACTTCATTCAATCCACTGTTACACTTTGTGAAAAAAATTATGAAAAATATTATTTTTAATATAAAACCTAAACATTTGCAAGCCAAATTCACAGCTTATGACACAAAATGATTACAATATGGAAACTGAGTTGGCGTGAAGGATGCCCTCATCCACTTATACATGTGCAGCTCATTGTTTAAATTTCAACTCTTTAGGTGATTCTAATTTTCTTGAGAAAAATCATTTATTATACAATTTGTTTAATAAACTGTTCATACATAGATAACTCACAGTATAAGCTTTTACAAATCATCTACTAAATTAGCACAAAGTTAAGATTTTCATTTTATGACTGATGTAATGATTTCCTGTGTTGCATTAGTTCTGGTAATAGTGATGACTCAAAAAAACTTAACTGATTATTTGGGGTTTTTTTTTCAGTCATATAAGATGGTGGCTCTAACAGTGTAATACAAATAAACCATCAAACATCTGTAGTGACTCTACACTTGCTTCTCAAATAAACAGGGCAGTATCAAATAAGCAGGAAAGAGAGTTTTGCAATTTCCAAAAGTTTAATAGTCAATAGGATATATTACTAATACATAATCAAGATCAATAAACATTTATTTTTGACATAGAATTTTAATAAATGGGAGGGGGGTCAAATAAAGTGTAGTGGTCTCATAATTTTCAAAATTTAATAAGCATACCCCCTACACACGCATAATTAAGAGGCAAGAGTACTTTCTGTTGTATGAATAATAACAGATCCATCTTTTCACAGTTACCCATAAGGATATCTGAGGAACTTTTTGGTATTTTTATAGTCCTCAAAGCCATAAAATTAAATGTCAGCAAGGAAAAAAAGACATATCTGACTGGTAAAAGCACAAGTGACTCAATGTTGGATTATATATGGACATGTTGAATTTTGATGTGCAGAAAATGCACATAAAAATGTTCAGTTCTTAGAAATTTTCATAATTTGGGATAAAAGATTGTTTACTGTAGTTTGGGAGAATATCATATATAAATTCTATATATCAGACAGTGGGTAAATTGAATTAAAAAATGGAAAAAAATCTTAAAACATGTTTTTGTCTTTCAAAAGAACTTCTTAAAGATCTTATCAATTAAAACATTGCTGTTGTTTCTAAATTCTATAGGTTATTTGGCATTGTTCAAAATGTCTAATTATTGGTATAAAGGTTTAATATCATTAATACACTATAATAGTTTCCACTGAACCAAAAGACTCAGAGTAAAAGAAAAATGGCTTATAGGCTAAACAATGTAAGTACATTTTATTTTATAAAATGTATAATATGAAATATGGTCATTAAGTGCCAAGATAATGTTGGGTAAACCAGATCTTAAAACTTATGTTGCTGTAAACATAAGTATACATTTTTAAGGTATACATATAATAGTGTACAATATAACCAGTTTGTGACATTTTTATTATTTTGTGTTATGATGTCATTTAGCTTAGTCTGTCCTGCAGAGAATCTGATCAAAACCAAAATGGTGGCACATTGATAAAATTGCTATCAGCAGACCTATAGTAATTTATTTCCAGTACATGACAATTTTCTATCCCCCACCCGCCCAAGATAGGCCAGCACAGGAAGGCAACAATGCTAAGAGTGAAAGTGTTAATTAGGGTTCAACCTCTCATAGCAATAGAATCAATTGTCTAACTCTGCATGTAAATCTTTGAAGAAGGTTGCCCTAAATTAGTGTAGAAGTTGTATATTTTACTGCTCTTATCCCTTACCTCATAAGTTGTTGCTACTTTGGTTGGAGGTAGAAAGAGAGAAAATCTTGAAGTTGAAATGCCTTATATGTTTTGAAAATGCTTGGGATATATGTTAATTGTTCAAGAGCAACAAACACTTGACTGTCCCAACACTGATATGAAAAAAGAATATAGATCATTACTAAAGACAGCTAAGTCAAGCACAGTATCATATAATGAAAAATTTGAGTAAGAAGATTGTGTTTCATCAATCTTTCAAATGAGGGTAGTGTTCAGAATCCTGGTATAAAAATGTGAATACCAATTACTAATATAAGTGTAAAAAGTATTTCAAATCACAAACTTTATAAAAAGAATGTAATGTAGTTGATGATATATAAGACAACTTGAGTTTGATCCTCACTGGGTGGCCCATATTTATGGCTTTGTCTCAAATGAAGCTAAGCTTAGTAAATAACTTGGGCATTCTCTAATAACAGATAGATATTGAAAATAAACCAATGCCAAGTACAGTTTTATATGAAAAATTATATGAAAGTTAGTGAACAAGACTATTCTTTTGTTACTTCCTAAAATATTTACAATCATTTTTTTCTAAGATACTTTCAGCCGTGTAACCTAAATCAAATCAAATCCTAACACAAAAAACTTTGTTACTCTTCCCACACAAAATACAAATTACTTAAAATTAATCATCTTTAATATATTTTCATTTTTCTATGTACCATGTTCCTGTTTATTTGTTTAATGGCATATCAACTCCTTATGGGTCATTTAATACCAAAATCTAATTTTCTTGTGAGCTTCAGTAATTTTTTTTCTTTCCCAAAAAATGTATTGTTGGTAATTTTTTTCCAGTAATGTATTGCTGGTAACTTTTTCTAATGTATTTTTATATTTCATGTTTTGACCCCAGTTTGGGGATTTACTATTTGCCTATAGCTGGGACCCTAACAGGTGCTACCACCCCAGATTTTGGTGAACCTGGGAACAGCAGCAAGTAAGAGGTGGTTCCATGCTCCTGCAAAACCTTCCAATCAGAGGCCTTGTTTGACGAATGTAGTTTATCCAGGCCAAACCGTGTCCTTTCAGGATGTGGGCAATGTCTCCATAACTTTCTATCTTTTGTTGCTCTTAGTTAGGTTTGTCTTTTTGCTACCTCTCCCTTTTTTTACTTTCGATATCTCCTGTGAGTGTCAAATTTTCCAAGCCTCTATCCTCATTATGTATTCTAGAAGTTTCAACTATTTCTTTTTGACTAAGTATAAGTGACCTTTTTGTTTCCATTTCATTAAAATTTCATAAAAAATTTCATAAAAAAATAAAAAGTTAGAAGTATGATAAAACAACCACTAACCTCCATTGATAGCCTCTGAATATTTGTAGGTAATGGTGGCACAATAATATTAAGATAACCGTCTTCATCCGTGGTATATTTACCAGCATATTTCACAGTAGGAGGATGAAGATCATTTGCCACCACATGAAAATTTTCTCCAGCAAGTGGCTTCTTATCAGGGGATTTCACACTTATCTATGCAAACACAAAATATATAAGAAATTAATATCTCAAGCATTTCTCAAATTCATATTTATTCTTCCTGAAAAATAAAACAATACAAAACTTTAATATTTATACTAAAATAAATTTAAAAGTAACTTATTTAATGCACAATAAACTGTATGCTTCATAATGAAAATTTAAATTCAGTACTCTCTTGTTTGTTTCTAATGAGATTTTCCAGTTTCTTAATACTTTGCTTAGCTTTTGAAAGACATCTGTTAAAACATTTTCTAGATATTTAAATTTTTGCACTTGCTTGATTTTGACATTTCCAATTTGTAATTCACATGTTAGGCTCCACTTTTTGCTGACAACCATAGTTACAACCTCCTTAGAATTGATATTTAGTCCTTTCTCCTCACTTTCCTTTACTACCTTCTATAGTTCTTGTATTTTCCATTCTGTGTTTTCTCTCAGTAATGTGTCATCTGCATATCTAATGTTGTTAAGATTGTGGCTACACTTGTTTTGCTTTCTTATTGATTTGTCAATAGATGCTACTGAATCGCTCTTTGGGGATTTTAACAAAAGGAATAAGTCATGGATTTAATCTACTGTTTACAATGTAACAATAAATGATAATGATGATGATCATCATTCTCATCTATAAATAGTAATTTAGAAAATAAATTAAATAATCTTAAAAATCAATTTATGATCACTTACATCTAATTAATTTACAATGAAATTATAGGTATATTTTTTTTATGCAAAAATGATGTGTGAATGTCGCAATACAAATGTTCTTTTTTGACAAGATAAAAATAAAAAATTCTAATTACGAGGCTAAGTCATACTTTTGCTATAACATATCCTTACATTTGTAACATTGCTTCCTGCTCCTGTGTGCTTATAGTTGGTACTACTGTGGTTACATGATCGAAGTTAAAGCTTGATTGCACCAGTTTTCTTCTTCTTGTTGCAGTGTAAACATGACCGCTTTATCAGCAGTGTGCATCAAGGAAGAACAAAAAAGCAGTGATCTGAATCTTCAGTGAACATACTACCTCACCACTTTGTCATTACCATCTCTCAAGTTTGCTGAATCTTCTTGCCATTGGTGGTGGTTGAGAGGCATCCTGCTCCTTCTTTGTGCCTCACACTTGTCCGGCCACTTTTAATCTTCTTGAACCACTCCTATACACTTCAAAATGGTGGTGTACTGTTGCTGTATTGTGTTAAATGCCTCTGTCAAATTTAAGCCCCTGACACACTTTTCAGCCAGAGAAATCAGATCATTGTTCTTTGTTCCTACTTGATGCACACTGCTAGCAGAGCAGCTATGTTTACACTGTAACAGCAGCAAGAAAACTTTGATTATGTGACTACAATAGTACCAACTATAAGCATGCATAAGCAGAAGTCAGTGTGACCAAGCGAGATGTGTTATGGCAAAACTGCAGATAATTTATTTTTACTTACCCTCACATATCTTCTGCTCAATGAAATTAGTTTATCTCAGTTATGAGTTACCAAATAAGCATAAGTTGAAATTTAGCCATATTTATGGTAATGATAATATTAGCAGTTTCCTTATAAGGAAACATTCAGTGTTCATTGACAGAGCAGACAGTTCTACCATTGGTTGAAATTTATAAAATCTTTCTCTTACAACAACTTTTCAGGAAAATGAGTTTCTCAAATCCACTGTTATTGCTCTTTCCAGTATTGGTGGGATCTTACTGCCTAATTTTTTGTTTGAAGTTTTGATTATGTTATTATTTTCTTTTTGAGCTACATGTGCTATCCATTTTGAAAGTCCTCAAGTGATGTAGTTTTTGTTAATTGGTACAGTTCTTTGTGATTCTATAGTACCAGTCCATGAGGTTTGAAGAAGGATGGGCCACGCTAAGACCTACTAATTTCTTTCATTGTAAAATTGTCCATTTTTTTATTTATATATCTTTTTAAATAATAATTTATATCTAATACCATAATAAACATGACAAAGAAACAAATGTCAAGCTATTGGACTTCAACTTGTAATTGTTTTTAAAATATTTTTGTTAAAATGTAAAGATTAAGGCAATCAAAAATTTTTTTATATAAATTCAAATATTATAAAATATTCTTAATGACATGTTGACAAAAAAAAAAAAAAAAAAAAAAAGAAATTACTTTTGCTTCAAATGGGATTCCAGGTTTAAAGTATTCTCTTGTATAAGGGTCAGGCTGAATAAATAGCCTATCTTTTTCAATGCTTGGTCCTTCATGAGATTTTGTTATCTGCACACCTATATAAAAAAAAAAGAAAGAAAGAAAAGAAAAAAAAATAATATCAGGTGTAATAAATATACAATTATTATACATATCTGATCTGGTGCTCCTGCTATATATCTCAAATTTATCAACAAAACGCAAATAAGGTTCTGTATTGTTATCTCGACTTCAGTCACTTTCCCACCACCATGATGTTGCTTCCCTCTATCTTTTCTACATATATTTTCCTAATTTAATATTTGTTTTAATGAGCTCTCTTTATTGGTACCTCGATTGTGAATTCAAGCATAGTACTAGATTGGTAATTAGGTCTCACCATTCTACTGTTAAACTAGCTAGATGTAACTGTAAGTTCTATTCTAACAGTTTCTGTTTTTGCACTTCTCTCCTGTGGAACTCTCTTCCAGTTTCTTACATCCCTGCCACCTACATACATTTTTCAAAAATTTAAATGCAATGTCAATTGCCATCTTCTATTTTTTTGAATCCTGTTCTTTTATCATCCTTTCTCTCCACAAAATCTTTTCATTCTTTTCCACTCCCAATAATCCCTTGTGGCATTATTGCTTTGTTTGGGGTGAAATGATTAAAAAGAATGCAAGTTTTCTGTAAGAGATTACTGAGTAGTAGAAAATGTGAGAAAAAGACAAATATTATTCAGGAAAGAAAACAATAAAAGAACATGAACTAAAACAAAAAATAATGATTGACATTGCATTTAGATTTCTGAAGATCAAAGTTGACTGGAAAGCCAGAAGAGAGTTCCACAAGCAAGAAGTACAAGAGAAAACCTGTTAGCATAGAACTTACGGTTACACCTAGCCATTTTAACTGTAAAATGTTGAGACCTTGCTGCCAATCTAGAATTACACTTAAATTCATAGTCTCAGTACCATAGAAGAAAGTTCATCCAAACAATTAAAATATTTATAGAAAAGGCACAAGAAAGTTACATTATGGTGGTGGGAAAGTGACAAAAGCTAAGATGCCAGGTCAGCACCAATAATATTGCAAATTTTTCTTTGTATTTTATCAGGAATCTTTAAATGTATAGAAGCACCAGACCAGTGACTGAAGACAATATGCTAAAGAGAAGCCATAGAGTCTTTCCTTCAAGTGAAAAAATATGAACTTTGCCATAATTTGACTGTTCTACAAGCAGCACTTGTATTTTTCTACCTTCCAAAAGAATTTCATTGGATGTGTTCAGATATCTGCATTTTAAATGATCTGTGCATTAGTCAGAAAGTATTTTGCTAAGTGTTTGGTAGGTCTTTTCTGATACCTTCTATTGTGCTATAATCTTGTTTAAAGAGCTTGCTTCTGCTGCAAAATATCACATATTAAGTTTAAATAAATGTAATTGTTGAATTAAAAATCATTTCTCATCTTGTGATAATGCTATGAAATTATATATGGATGGGTATGTGGCTTGAAAGAGGGTTTGGTAACTACTGCTGTCATTCTGTAGTAAGCCATGTTAGTTGTGTCACACATCCTTCTTGAGACCAATATACTCACTTCTTAAAATAACAACCAACATTCATATTTATGATTGTTATTGCAATATTTTGTTTACACTATTTACATTGTTTGGACTGTTGTCCTCATCTTTGTTGCCATATTCACAATGCAATATTTTGTTAAAGTTATTAAGCTCAAATATTTAATGATGTAATAGGAAAATTTCTACAGATATTTTATTGTCGTAGAACTCACCTTTAGCTTACTCAATCATTAACTTAAGAATTAAAATTCATCAGAATATTAAAATAAGAAAAACTGTGAAATTTTCACAAGTTAAAACTTGTATACATGATTATAAAATTACACCAAATTTATTCTTACTCAAGCAACCACATTTTTATTTTAATAACTATAGTAATTTTGCACCAGTAAGCAAATTGCTTTATGTGACATTTTTATAGCAAAATATAAAATTCCATGTTTTTAATTGAAAATCATATTCATGTATGTTGAAATCCATCAAAGTTGCAAGTGAATCACATGTACTGTAGCCATAGCAGCAGTGGGGGTGTCTAGGAGAAGATAACCTAACAGAGCCTATCCCTCCTCAGACTGGTTTTGAATTTAGAATTGTCTTTATAGACTTGTTGCTACCCAAAGCTAGAGAACTCAGTCTACCCTGCTATCTAACCCATAGCTGTGAGGGGAGAAGAAATGGCTTCATCTCTTTTCCAACGGTATTTGTGAACACAATGGAATAGCCTGAAATTTGAAATCAGCTTGCCAATTCCACTTTCTGTGACAATATCCATTACACTACCCACAAATAGGTTAGTAAATTAATTATACAAATTACATACTCAACATTTGTCTCATTGTTGGTTCTCATCCAGGTGAGAATATAAATAAAATTATTTACAAAAGTCTACTGAAATTATAATAAAAGTACTGGTTACAACACTGGTATAATAAATTAGGCAAATGTCAGCAGAATGTTTTGTAGAAAATGAATTATGTAAGAGACAGATTTTTGTTTAAATTTTTGTTTTTATCTTAATATATAAAGTATTGATGTCTCCTGTGACATATGAGATAAAAGTAACTCACTGATTTCATTAAATAAGTGCTGCTAATTTAGTTTATGTTTCAATGTCATCCTTCAAACATTATCAGGTTGAGGTTTGAAAATTATCTTATAAACAAGGTTTTTGCAATTATCTCTCGTCAATGTTGAAGTTTTCCTTTTTAAGAAAAATATTTGCAATTTATTGCTGACTAAAGTGAATGGAAATATTTCTGATAATTCTTATTTGTTCTTTCTATGAATGATGAACTATCAAATCACTATGAAAAGCGTATCAATCACCTAAAAACACAGATTTAATTTACCTGTTCCAATTTCGGTAACTGTAGCATTCACTTTCAAGGTAAGATACCAGGCAGTGTAAGATTTGTTGGCCAGCTGGAGTTCATTTGAATCAACAGAGATCTTGTGGCATCCATGAAACTGTAAGAAATAAAGTTTATTTCTTAGGGAAAGAAATGTTTTTCACCAATATTAAGATTCTCTCTAATTTCCAATTATTTGATAAAGAGAAACTAACAAATTTGTTAACAATTCTTTAGTCCTTTGTCTACTCCAATTACTTAATTCTATAGCCTCTCTTTCTTTGAACCTTGCATAATTAATTTTAATTTATATTGTTGTAAAGTAAATTAAAAAATATATCTGCAATTTGGTAAAAATTATTTCAAAAGGAAACTAAGAGACAAGAAATAGAGAGAGAAAACATCAAAGGGAAACACAGAAGTAAAATAAAATTTATTTAGGAAATTTAATTTGCTATTCTTTATTTTACTTCCCCCAGACCTCACCAAATAATTTAAGAAAAGACTTGGACAGAACAAAAGTGATTTTCTTTTCTTTCTAACATCATGAATCAAGTTCAGAAGATTGCTTATCTTGGATATATAGGCGCTTACATATCAACATCTAGGTTTCTGTCAGAAAAGCCATTAGAAAATGCTATATAAGACTACTTATGCTTTAGAGTAATAAAATTAAGTATATTAGCACATACACTACTATCTTGTATATTTGAACCCTTACATAATACCATCTATGTTTTAATGAGTTGCCATTAGAAATTGGTACGTATGACTACTTATGATTTATTTTAGTAAATAAAATTAAGTTTGTAAAATTATAATGTCCTCAATGCTAGCAGTGATTTTTATTTGACACATTTGTGCCATGCTGTTAAAAAAAAAAAAAAAAAAAAAAAAAAATCACATTAGCATAACTATTCTGGATTCACATGTGCATCAGAGGCAATAGGTAAAACATACCAGAATGATACACGAGTGAATTTTTGTGATAGTAAACACGTTAATGAAACATTAATGATTTTAATTAATCCAGATTTTTTGCTACCTTATTTCTTACCTTCTCATTAAAGTTGTAACAGGGTCTTTGATTCTGTGTTTCATAAGTGCCTTTTATACAAATAGAACCATTAACATTCCCAATAACTTCTTTCTGATAAGTGTACCTGCAGAGAAATATATCAAAATATATGCAAGATTTCATAAAACAGGTTTAGATTTTTTGTAAAAGTTTCTTCACAGAAAGGAGAAAACAAACTTAACATAATTGATGGTTCTTCAATTTTTCTGATCCCACAATTGTCATTTCAAAAGCATTATTCAAGTTTCTTAAAAAGGCCAGAGAGCAACACTTTACATTACATTTACAGTTTATGTTTGGAACAGGTTGATGACACTGCTGATAAAATTCACTCTATGAATTTTTCAATTTCTAAACCACCTTTTACAAGACTCCATTGAACGAGCTTCAGACAGGTACATCTGGGAGGGGGTTCAACATAAGAAATTGCTCATGCAATAATTCTTTATTGTTTAAGAGTAGCAATAGTAATATATTAAGTTACAGCAATTTTGAAGGAATCAGTTTTTTTACTAAATAACAATAGAAAAATGATCCCCCACTTTATGCCTAGTAGAATCTTATCTTAATATTAGTGTAACCATTATGTTAGGACCAGCATGGTGCCCCTTCTGATAGAATTCAGTAAATAAATTTACAACTACTAAACAGTTTTTTACAAGACTCCACAACACTAACCTAAGATATACAACTGTGGTCAACATAAGAGATTGCTTATGCAATTTTCTTTTGCTTAAGAGTAGTAGTATGTATATATGTATAGTTAAGTTTGGATAATGTTGATAAAATTTACTCTATGAATTTTACAATTGCTAAACCATCTCTTACAAGACTCCATTACACTAGCCTCAGATGGGTGCACCTGGGGTCAACATAAGAGATTGCTCATATTTAAAAGTAATAGTAGTATATTATACAACAAACTGATTCAACTTTAAGCAATATAACATGAGCATCTGAAATTCAGCTCTTCTCTCAAAAAGAAATTAATTTAATAATAATGATTTAAGTTATTCAACCAACTTTGAAGTTAAAGTATCTTTACTTGCTTACAGCAAATAAAATTATGAAATAATTTCTCATTTGGTATTATTAGACAATAAAGAAAAGAGATTTGTAGGAAATTAGAAAAACTCCCATCTTATTATTTACTAATATTCTCAACAATTGTTGTTATCACATTTTAGCCATTCTCCCCTCTATTCCATCTTTAGAAAAAATTCAGAAGTGACCTTTTTTGCTAATTAAAAGAAAATGTCTATATCATACAAATATATCACTTTCAACAATTGAACAATACAAGAGAAATGAAATTTTTTATTAAATATGTGCAAAAGGTTTCCAGTCGTTCATATTTTATTTTTAAATAAAAAAACACTTTTCTACTGTGTAGTTTTTAATCTCCAAAAAAAGTGTTCAAGAAGCTTTTGCAAATACCTAATAATAAGTTACAGGTACTTTTACTAAGTCTCAATGGTATTTTTGTAGATATATATTTAACAGAAAAAAATAAATAGAATTTCTTACTTGGCACATATTTCCACGTCCACAGTTTTTGAATTAATTAGTAGATATGATGGTGGGTTAATGATCACCTCAAACTTTGGAATAACTGTAAAAACAAGAAATAGCAAAGGAATTAAATAATAGACACAAGATAGAGTAATTTTACTAGAATTAATTTCTAAAGCAGGATAATAGTTTTTATTAGGATCTGACATCAGACTATATTATCAGTGTTTTTAACCAAAAATATTTTCATGTCTATTTCAGCTTGTAACTAAAGTGAAAACAAAACAAGTTTAACAAATTTCAAAGTTCCCAAAACGTTACAATCTTCAATCCCACACAATTTATTGGCTTTCAGTATAATTTATTATGAGTTTCATTTTCCTATTTACTCGACATGAAAATATAGTAGTGTTACGAGGACACTGAGTTCTACTTGTTATTACAAAAAAGTTTTCATTCATGAAGTAGTTGTAAAATAGAGAAATTAGAAATAGAATGTTTGGAAGATTCTAGATCATTCGAGTATATTCGAGAAAAATCTAGATTATTCAAGAAACATCTAGAAATATGCAAATTAGGTGTTAGCCCCTATAAAAATGGGATTTTGGAAAAGGGTCATTAGTTGATGAATGAGAATTTCTGCTGTTATCAACTCCGGCTTTTGATTCAAGGACTATTATATCCAGCCGAAAAATTCTCTATAAAAAGTTTGTTTGTGATTTAGCTCTGTGTTGTGATAAATCATTTTTTTTTCCTTTGTTACAATTATTAACTCGTAACAGTAGATATTTTTTTTTAATTTATGTTTAGTAAATATATATGCAGATGATACTAGTGTATGGGTGCACCTACAAATAGCTTCATGACTGGTGCATGTCAACTGATCTCTCCTCTGACAGTGAAGAAAAACTAGCTGATATCATTCAATATCCCCAAAATTAAATTAGTTACATTTCAACAGCACTGAGCAGACCCTAAACCTACACCAATCCTGATAAGTGGTCATACCCTCAAAGAGGTTCCTTGCCTCAAACACCTACTGGGATTAAAGCACACTCCCAATCTTATGCTGTAAAAATAGTCAGTTTCTTTTAACGTTCCAGAAAATCCCAAACTCCTGCTGCCATGCTCGATCTTTATACAAGTCAGATCAGACTAAGAATGGAGTATTGCCGCCATATCTGCCCACTCATCACTTTTTAGCCTTGACAGATACTTATACTGCCTCATGGGTAATGAATTATTGTCCACCCTGCAACTCTTATCCAACAGATGAAATATCTCCTACATTTCACTTCTATATCGCTAATACTATGGCAGATGTTCATAAATGTTACATTCCTTAATGCCACCAGCTCGACCTTCACAACTAGGACCCTCCACCATGCTATGTTCACAGTGGCAAACCATAACCATTCCCTTCATGTTCCTAACCATTCCCTTCATAAAAAACAAATTCCACTCAGACAGTTTCTACTCCAGAACTGTTATTTTGTGGAACAAACTCCCAAGAGTATGCGTTCCTTACAACTACAATCTTGGTTTCTAAGTTCAGGCTCAACAGATATCTACCCTACTCATCATCATAATACTCTTACTCCCCCACCCACTTTACAATCTCATTCAGTAACCCCCTATCTTGAGTGGCCTTTGTATTGAGGGAACTACAGTAAAAAAAAAAAAAAAAAAAAAAAAAAAAAATACAAAATAACAGTCCCTTGTGTACACAGAAAATAAAAGATTAAAATAGAATGAATCAATTTCATTATTTTTATTTTAAAATCGGTGCATTTCATTATTTTAATTACAGCAGCAAACACATTTCTAAATTCTTTTCCGAATAAAGATACACAAATATACACCCCATTGACAAGGAGTTTTGCATGTGCCTTTTTCTTTTAAAAAACTTTTTAGATGGACGCAGTTCTCAAAAACAAAATTTTCTTTATGAATCATACACATACCATATTCACAAACTAAATTATTATTAATTGATTATTACACAATTTCTCTATTGTTCCCATTCCTCTCAAAACTGGTGAACTCAATAGCATTTCCAATAATATAGACAAGGCCATCTCTCTACATCTGTTTGCAAACATATTCTTGTTCAGTGATTTTAATGCCCACTATACCATGTGGCTTAAACACACTGTAACTGACCTTGCTAACATCCAAACCCTTAACTTTTCAATCACTCAATCTTTCATGCAAGTGGTTGACTTTCCTACATGTTTCCCCAGTAACCCTGACAGTTCCTGTCTCGATCTGTTTTCCCTTCATCCCTGACTTGTTGTGCGATGCAACTCTGTCCTCTTGGCAACTCTGATCACACTGTAGTGTCTATTAACATACGTACCTCCACGAGATCGCTAAAAAAAGAGCATAGCATGATGAAAAAGACGCCAAACTTAACGAAAACAAAATTTTATCATCTAAATGTTTGTTATTATTAAGAGGAAAGGTCAAAGTATTTTGGGGGTATTTTTTTCCATTTTTTAATCGTTCCTAGCTCGTCCGAAATTTTCGTTAAAAATCTAGTTTTTTTGAGTCAGCAAAATTTGACCATTTTTTTCCATTTAAAAAAAAACTGGAAATCTGACTTTGAAATTTTTTTAAATATCAATTATCATTTTTTCAAAACTTATTTTAAGAAAATCAGAAATTATAATGTTTATTTAAAATATTTTGAACCAAACTTAGCTTTTGTGCCAAAAAGATGTAATTTGAAAATAAAACAAAGCAGGTCATAAACTTTCGCGTCTCTTGACATGTGATGAATGATATATTTCTGAATTCCATGAGGCTAATTTGTTCTACGGAAGGAGAAAAAGTGAAATAATTTACATTTACGTGAACAAATTATTTACCCGTTATTTTTAACGAAAACTTTCAGCAGTCTAATTTTTTTTTTTTTTTGTACTTAGCTTTCACCTCTACGTTTATGATGCTTTATGGGAAATATATTGTAAAGAAATTAAAATAAAACTGTTAAGAGTGACATTAAATTTCATATTTCTTAAGAAAGGTATTTAATTAATTTATAGGTACCTTTCTTATGAAATTTTATCAGAATTGTACATAAAATACTATAATTTTATGTACATTTATTACATTCTACTGTTATTTGTATTTGCATTCATTTTATTATTAATTTTGATATTTCATTTATGGAAAAATGTCGTAACTGAGATTAATATAAAAATAAGATCATATAAATTTCATAAGATGATACTGATACTTGTAGGTACCCTTCTCAGTTGAAATTGAAAAATCAAATTAACTTCTCCACACGTGTTTCGCAAAAGTAAAGGCCTTAACAGCGGAGAACAATGCTTAATTCAAATAACGCAACTTAATTATATTCTGGTTGGTCTTCCGTATTTTATAATTACAGCTCGATTATAAGCACAAAATTACATTTCTTAATTACTGGGGATCTTCTGATTAGTCAAAATGATACAATTTACAGCGCGCTTAAAAAAGATCTATCTCATAAGGACACTTATGAAAGCCCGATCTGACTTTTAACTAATTTTATAATATTTTAACAACTTAAATGTAAAATCTATTATAATTAATGAAATAACAAATAATTGTATTAAAATTCATTTTTCATCGAAAAAATTTTTTTGCTTTCAGAAAATATTGTCCATATTCATAAAAACAACTAAAAGCAAATAAAAGCATTTGAAATTAAATAATATCTTTGTTTTATTAAGTTTTTTGTATGTTACAATTCAGAGCTGATTTTCAGGTACTGCGTATCAATTAAAAAAAAAAAAACATGATTTGCATTCCTCAAAGCCCTGTGCTTTTAATTATTGTAATCACTAAAACCGATGCGATCAATTTCTAGCGTTTTCATAAAATTAGTTATGGGGGTAATAAATATTTTAAAAAAATATTTCTACCATGACTTTCATAAAAAAACATATTTATAATAATTCCAATCATCTGTGAATAGTTTCTGAAAGTTTCATTAACATCCGATAATTATTTCTATTTTTGCACGATTTTTCAAATTAATGTGTGTCATACCAAAAAAACGTGCTAACTATTGTCTATGTTATTTACTAGTTCCGCTGATACAAATAGAAAAAAGGTTTTTTAATCAAAATTTACAATGTTCTAAAAAGAAGGAAAATTTTTTAAAAATAATTAAAAAAAAAAAAACTTTGGTCTTTCCTCTTAATAATAACATAAGCATTTAGACAATAAAATTTTGTTTTCGGCAAGGTTGGCGTCTTTTTCATCAAGCTATGCTCTTTTTTTAGCGATTTCGTGGAGGTACCTATATTAACATCTCCTTCCACTCCCCTTCCAATCAAGAACCTCCTACTAACAGAATATCTTTCTGTGATCAATGCACAGACTGAGACTTGTTCAGTGATTTCCTTCATGACATCCCTTGAAATGTGGTTTTTAATCATCCCATTCAAAATATGTGCATCTGAGGTGTCCTCCTGGGTAAAAGCCAACATTGAGGCTTTCATCCCAGCAATAAAATATAAAGATAAATTGTGCTCATCTCCTTAGTTCTTAGCTGCTTGCTCATAGGAATCACTTCTTTCATCTGTACTAGAGCAACATGTCTAATTGCAACAGACGTCTCTCTTAGTTTCTGCATGTATGTAATGAGTGCAAGTGTGTCCTCAATGAAGCAATTACTATTTGCTGATAGAATGAAACAATGTATTGCATTTCACAAGTTTGGTTCTAAAGATTATTGGCGACTCTGCAAGAGTGTGTTGAACAACAGCAAATCCACAATCCCTCCTCTATTCAATCAATTCGAAGTCCTAACTTCCACAGCTGATAAGGCTGAATGCTTTGCTCAGAAATTCTTATCCAACTCAACACTCGGACTTGTCCAGAGTACACACACGATTTCCCCCTAGAACTGAGGCTTTATTGAGTGAGATGAGCATAACCCCAATTGATGGTATTGGACATCATCTCATAAAGCAAGTGGTGGTGACTGGATACCAACTGTAGCCCTCAAGAAATGTGCCCCTGAGCAGACTCCAGTTCTCTCCAAACTATACAATTATTGCCTTGCTGACTCTTGCTTTCCATCCTGTTGGAAGTCCTCATCTGTTGTCCCTGTTTTTAAGAACTCTGGAGATCCTTCTGACCCATCTAACTACCGTCCTATCAGTCTCCTACCACCCTTCAGCAAAGTCTTCAAGGCTTTAATCAATGCCAAATGAAATGATTACAGCCATAACTGAATTTGTATACCAAGCTCTTGATAATAACGGCAAAGCTTGAGCTGAGGCTCTAGATATCTCATTTGATAGGGTTTGGCATGCTGGCCTATGTAAGCTTCAGGGATCCTGTAATAACAGGACGATTATTTGATTTAATCCAATCATTCCTGTCAAACCATGATAGGAAGGTTGTCTGAAATAGGTTCTCCTCCAGTTCCTTTCATACGAATGCTGGTGTTCCCCAAGGCTCTATCCTGGGTCCTACATGGTTTCTGATCTTCATCAACAATCTCCCTGATGTCATCAGTTCTTAAGTAGGCATCTACACAGACGACACTACCATATACTCCTGTCTCAATAGTAAATCCAACATTGCTGATAACGTTAATCTGGCTATTGTTCTCGAAAAGGACCTCCAACCTGTGATTGACTGGGGCAGGAAATGGCTTGTAAATTTTAATGCCTCCAAAATGAAACTGTTCTCATTTACCAACCTTAGAGACACCTCCCTGCCTCCTATCAGCATGGCTGATGCTCAGCTTTTGGAGAGCATCTCTCTGTGCCTTCTTAGTCTCACATTTTTCCAATGACCTGAGATGGAATAACTACATTGAATCAATAGCTAGATCTGTATTGCACCAGAAGGTTTTTCTTGTCTGAGTCCATCCTTCAAATCAATATATCTACCATTCATCCTTGCATTGAATACTGTTACCATATATGGTCTGGTACCCCCATTGTTCATCTCAAAATCCAAAGACGGATATGCAATGTGATAGGTCCAAACCTGGCATCTCAACTCCAGTCACTTTCTCACAGACGTGATGTGGCTTCCCTCTGTCTTTTCTACAAATATTTTCATGGCAACCGCTCTGACTATTTTCACTGGTACCCCAACTGCTTGAATTTAAGCATGCTACTAGGTTGGCATCTCAGTCTCACCATTTTACTGTCAAAACAGTTAAATGTAACTGCCTCTTTTACTCCAACAGCTTCTCTCACACTTCCTGGCAGTGGAACTCCCGCCCTTTCCCTGATAACTATAACCTTCAAAAATCGATATGTCTGATGCCTTGATCCCCATCCTTCTCTTCATCCTTTCCTCAAACACCCTTCTTTTCTCTTACTTTCACTCTCTGTAACACCTTGCATGCTAGTGGCACTCCCCGCTTTCTTTGGAGTGAAATGCTAAAAAAAAAAAAAAAAAAAGTTCATATAATCTTTTATCAGTTTTTTTTTTATTAAATTCATCAATTTTCATTTTGTATGAATTTTTCATATCCTTTTTCTTGATATAATGGTAACATAAATTTTGTTCTTTGTTTACAAAGGACATTATTCTGCATTATTACCAAAAAAATCCAAGCTATAACTAAGAAACCTTTCAGTATCAAGCCAAATGTATTCAGCATAAAACAAAAAACTTGTATTTCCCTCTTTAATTATTCAAGAGAATTTTGTAATAAATTGAAATTCAGTTCAACATTCAATCTCAACACACAAATTAAGTATCACTGCTATTTTTATTTAACCTTGTTAATTTTCTGACACAGACATAATTAGAGCCAACCAACCTAGGATGGATCCCAGTTATGGATATTTGCTTGATATTTTTAATTTAAAGATAATTTCTATCAAGAAATTAATAAAACAATCATATGAAATCAATAGAATCAGTTCCGCTTTAATTACACAAAATTAAATTACCTTTAATGAGAAAAGAACTTGTTACAAAAAACATGAAATTTTATTAACATTTATATATGTATTTGAGAGAATATGATATGTAAGAACTATTTATCAGACTAATGTTGGGTAATTGACAAAATGGAAAAAAAGTGTGTGATGCATTTTGTCCTTTGATCACCTTTCTTAAAACCATTGCTCTTACAATGTAGGATATTTAAAAACAGCAATAAAACAGAAATAGTAAGAAGTTGAATTGTGTAGCATGACATTGGACGGCATAAATTTCAAATTTAAGTTAAGCTCAGTGTTTCTCTTGATATAAGAGAATTGGTGTATTATCATTCCCTCTTTCTCAAATATATATATATATATATATATATATATATATACACACACATACACTCCCAAGTACAGGATTGGTGTAATATGAAACAAATTCCAATAACCAGAAATACTATTCTTAAAAGAGTGCTCAATACAGAGCAAAAATAATTTAATTGAAAGTTATAACATAAATATGTTATAAAATCACTACAAAATAACCATTTTGTTTCAACATTTCTGGTGTCTTATCAAGTGATGGTGTTGAATGATAAAAATAATTCTATAAAATTCCACAAAACAGAACATAAACCTTGACTTTAGTTATATTCATCATTAAAATTTCAGTTTTTTATGACTAACTGAAAACATTTCAACTTATTCTGCTTATATATATATATATATATATATATATATATATATATATATATAAATTTGTGCATTTAGGCAGCAATCTTTCTTTCATGCACATTTCATTGAATATGACAGACAAGGTGCTTTGATTTAGTTTTTTATACAATTTCTCATGCGATCTAATAAGTTTTTTCTTTTCAGATGATAAATTATATAAAAACTGTCCAAATGTTCTTTTTTCACACACACACACACACACACACATACATACATACTACTTAATAAGAATAGATAAAAAAAACAAGGCAAGCAGTGAGATAGTGAATATATCTTGTGTTGCTATGTTTTAAGTGAAAGTGGAATTGATTTGTCGGACTTAACAAATCATAGTCAATAGCTGTCAAAATCAATTTATGCAGAGAAGTGAGCAGGTAAACAACTCATTTTATATAAGCTGAGAGTTGATTATTTTGACAGTTTTCTTTCATTCAATTTCCACATAAAAAAAATCTTTCTCCATTCCAATAAAATAGAAAAAAAAAAAAAAAAAATACAAACCATATTCAAAGACTTTAAAATTAGATCTTTGTTTCTGGTTATTTATTTTCACAGTAATAGACCAATCTCCAAGAATGGGTTCTTTGGACAGAGTTTTTTGCAAAGAGACCAACCCTGAAAAATTGAAAAATTAAAATAAATAAATTTAAAGTATTTGCTATAAATATTAATACTGATGCTTTATATGAAAAATAAAGTTTTATATATATATATATATATAACCATGTAATGCTAACCTTTGTTTCATTTCAATGAAGAAAATGTTATAAATTAATGTTAACTAATGTCAAAGCATACAGTATATAAAAGAACAAGTTCCCAGATAGCTGAAAGTATTTAGCATAAAATATCATTGTTGTAAGAGAATAAAAGAGAAAGGGAGAGTGTAAATCATGAATTTTAATGACATAAATTTGAATTAATGCTAAAATTAGTGCATTTCCCAGAGCTGAGGACATTTTGGCCCCAAGAACATTAATTTCTGAGATTTGTGAATAAAAAAAATTTAAAAGGAAAAAAAAATTAAATTAAAATTAATAACTTCTGAGTAAATTTTCAACACTTGTTTCAAGGAAATAAAGAGTGCAAAATTTCAGGAAATACAGCAATTAAATGCAATTAATGTTATAAACTAATTAGTCTGAAGTTTATGGCAAATTCCCTCTATTATTGTTACAAACATACACCTGGCAAAGGACTGTCCTGTTTCCCACATCATCCCAAGTATAACACCTAGTCCTGGGATCTGTTCTTACAGGCTGCACCTCACCATTGCAGTAAAAGTATTGGATCAGGGCTATTCCTTGATAACTGTGGCATACCAAAGACAAGACCAAGAGAGAGAGAGAGAGAGAGAGAAAAAAAAACTTTTTGTACCCACTTTAAAACAAAAAGACCATATGCCATATGATAAAGTATATAAATACTCTCACTTCTTTGAAATTAACTCTAAATTTTCACTTTTCTGATGTTGCCATGAGACATTGTGTTGTATAAGTGTTCAGTCTTTGGGTGGTACTAGTGACATTCCACTGTAGACTGTACCTTACTTTGAACTAGATAGCTGAAGTGATATACTACAATTGGATCAATTGAATAATTATTAATATTGGTGTAGAACAAGGAGCTACAATAATTTGCATCTGTTACTTCAGAACTGATTTCTGATAAGATCTGAAACTGATCAAATGGCATCAAGATCTTTAGAGGATTTCCTGTAGCAGTTCATCAGCCAGTAGATACTTATGACAGGCAATTTCATTTACAATAGTGAAAAGAGTGTGATAGCCCTGAATGCTATTCTCTCAAATAAAAAAAAATGAAGAGATGAATTTCAGCCAATCATTTCAGATTGGCTGAAATTCATCTCTTCATTTTTTTTTTTTTAAGTTAGCAGTTTGTGCTAAATAAAATAATGGTGAATAGCATGAGCAACACCAGTGCCAGCATCACCATGGACAGTGAACAACTGGGGGAAGTGTCTAGCTTCAAATACTTGAGAACAACACTGTCAAAAGATGGCAACTGCAATGCAGAAATCCGCATACCGATCATCACAGCTACAGTAGTGATGATCAGACTGGAAAGGACATGGAAGAATAACATCAGCTTCCATACCAAGTTTAAGATCTACAAATTGTTGGTCATGTCTATCCTTCTCTATGAGTGTGAGACTTAGACATTCTTGGTTAGGCAGGAAAAAGATGAACCCGGCATTCAAGAACAAATGCTTGAGAAAGCTCCTCTGCATCTCCTAATGGAAGTACAGAACTAATGACAAGGTCAAACGTCATGGGCCAACAAAAATCTCTCCTCATCACTATTAAGTACTGGATGATGTCATGGTGATGTTTATGCCATTTGCTTGAGATTAGTCAAGAGTGAAACAGATTTGCATGTTCTTTGGCTTACAATACCAGTGCCTTCATCCAGAGAAGAGATATTTTAACCCTTCTTAACAAAAACAGCATGCAAAATGGATATGTATTGGTCAACAAAATAAGTTGTTATTTTCTTCTGTGCAGCTTTTTAGGAGGATTAAGTACAAAATTTTAAACATCAACTCACCATTTGTTTGTACATTCAACCACTGGGCAATTCGAGTATTCTTTGGATCAGTTATTATAATCTTTTTAATCTAATAAAAAAAATTAAAAACAATAAAATAAGAATTATTTGAGTTTTTTTTCACAACAATTTTATATATGGCACTTACATCATAAACACTGTAATAAAAGAGTTAAAAGTAGAAATGAAATGAACAAATTTAAACATATTCATCATGCTGAGTTATTAGGATTCAGCCACTGCATTTATGGTGTTTAAATTTTTTATAGTCATTTTTAATTGTTTATTATACAATATTGTATATCATTGACTCAAGATAATTAAATCATTAACCCCTTCATTAATATCATAGAGTATTTGAACACCCTACAAGAAGTTTTTCCTTAATATTCAGCAAATGACAAGTCAAATTTTCATGATTGGTCAAATAGCTTTCTGAATACTTCTGTTAAGTAACTACAAGAAATTTCTGGCTTTTGTCATGTCTGAATAACACTCACATGACTAAAGTTAACTGTAATAATCATTGTAAAAACAAATGCCAAGAGTAGAGTCAGATTCTTTGTTATTGCCTAGAATGTGAAGAAACAGTTAAAGAGGAGTCCGACTGATCAGAAATTGTTTTAAAAGATCATTTTTTTTCAATCATTTCACCCTAAGAAAGGTGATAATGCCATTAGGATGCAAGGAGTTACTAGAAATGAGAAGACTTTAGTGAGGAGAACAGACAATAAAAGAACAAAGTTCAGGAAGACAGAAGATAACAATTGCCATTTCATTTAAATATGTGAAGATTGTAGGTGGCAGAAAAGAAATGATGCGAATAGAACATACAGTTGCATATAGCTGGTTCAACAGTAAAACAGTGAGACCTAGCTGCCAATCTAGTAGCACACTTAAATTCATGCAGTCAAGGCACTAAGAAGGAAAGCTTATCAGAAAATTGCAAAGTGAGAAAAGCAAGATGTAATTGAAGTTGAGATGCTAGGTCGGGATTGATTACTTTACAGTTTCTTCTTTAAATTTTTGTCAAGAATCTAGATATATATATATATATATATGTATGTATATATAGATATGGATATGTGTGTGTGCATGTATATATATTTATTGGTACTTATATAACATTGCAGATTCTTGATAAAATCCAAAAGAGAATTGACAATGTTATTGGTTCTGACCTGGTATCAGACACTTTCCCATCATCATGACATGGCTTCCCTCTACCTTTTCTATAAATATTTTCATAGTTCTTGTTCTAATGAATTTTCCTCTATGGTATCTAGATTTTATGAATTTAAACATAGTACTAGATTGGCAGCAATGTCTCATCAATTTACAGTTGAAGTGAATAGATGCAACTGTAAGTTCTATGCTAATAGTCTCTTTTCTTGCACTCCTCAATTGTGGAAAACTCTTCCAGCCTCTTGCCTCCAGTCAAATTTGATCTTCAAAAATTTAAATGCAATGTCAATCATTACCTTCTGTCTCCTTAATTCCTGTTTTATTTTTCTCCCTTCTTGAGAGTTAGGTTATTCTCTCTGCTCATAATTTTTTATATTGATGCACATATGAATTGTTGATCTCTTAATAATATTTTGATACAAAAGATCACAAAGAAAACCATAAAAGAATGCAGTAAGTTAGATGTTTTAACTATACCAGAAAAATAACTTAGTGTTCATCAATAAAAATTAAATTTAAAATTAAAGAGATTTAGGTAATAACAGTTGGTTATAACTTACTGAGTATAATAGAATCAGCAACCAAGAAAAGAGACTTTATGCCCCAATTTTTCTTAGAAGAATTTTTTAAAAAGCAACACCATTCCAGCAAAAAAGACAGAATCTAAAACATATTTTTCTCCATTTACACATTACTACTGATCTCATGATCAGTTAAAATCAATATTTTGATCAGAGATTTTTGTTTCTGGGAAATATCAAAAGACAAATCTCAACTGCCATACTTAAGATAACAATATATTTTTCAATATTTATAAAATATTTATTGAATATACTTACAACTCCAGACCAAGCTTTTAAGTCCCAGGTGAATGCAAGAATTCTGAATTTCACTAAAATAAAAAGTTTATAAAAATAACTTTTAAAAAGTCATAACTGGAATTACCAAATTTTTATGTACAAAAAAAAGGGTGAGGTGGTCGCACATGTACACATTTTCAAAAATCTTTTACTCTTATTTGAAACAGCAAGATTACAAATACACTCTGCACAATAGATAATAAACACAAAGTAAGCAGGTATTGATAACAATTGTTTACAAGAAGTATTTGATGTGTTCATATTTTTATTTTCATAGTTTATTAATATATAGAAATATAATAAAGTCATATCAAACAAAAAAGCATGACTGATTAATTAACACCTTAAAATTTATTACTGGGTATGCCTAGTTAGCACCTTTGCAAAAATACTTGAAAATAAGTTTTTAAATGAAAACTAAGAGAAGAAACACACAATGGCTAAACACCTGCTTCATTTCTATTCTTTGTGAAAAATTAAATATTTTAGTGAAATATGTATGACATTGAAATTTTAAGAGATAATATGGTACAACTTTTCAAAAAATTAACATTGGAATAGCTGTACTACAAGGTCATATTATACACAAAGATGTAATTTATTCCCAGCTTTTAATTTCAGAAACACAGGGTTATATTATACACAAGAATATATAGTTAAACAATATTTAAAATTAGTATGGAAATCAACATTTAAATAATTCAAAGTTGAGGATTAATGCACATCAAGAAAACATGAGTCTGATTGTATAAAATTTAGAATTCAAACTATCATAAAATTTTAATAAAGAAAAACAAAAACAATCTTAAATTAACATTTATATATTATTATTTCTTTTAATTTAATGGAATTGTACAGGATCTCCCCTTACTTACATGCAGGAAAGATTCCTGCAAAACCAACTGGGTGGTACTCCACTTGTGCAATGAAAATAATGCCCCAAAGTGGTTTAACAGTGATCAAAAAGAGTTAAGTGTAGAAAGGCTCAGTTTATAGTTTTCATGACAGTTTACAGGCAGTTCAAGTAAAACTTCCTAGCTCAAAGTTCAGCAAAATCTTTTCAAAACAATTCACAGAGTCAGCAGCAGCAAAATTTTGAAAATCATGAGTCAACCTCCCTTTGCATGAATCTATCACAACACAATGTAGGCCTAGAAAGCATTGCCAGTAACATCATGGAACTGACTAGAGAGACGACCCATTTCACCAACAACACATGGTCACATTTTCTGCTGTTTAAACCAAAATACAACCTCACCTCACCTCACCAATTTTAGAAGCAAGAGTTGAAGACACTTTGCCACAGAGAAAAAAATAATTACTCATTATGCCGTGAAATAATGATACCATAATTTTGTAAAAATAAAAAATATTTCTATTGTAATTCTATCTTAAAGCATTGGTTTGTAAATTCAGTGACATAGTAACTGAGTTCAATCTCTGGGTCAGGCAATATTGTCAGAAATAATGGAAAATAGAGTTACATGAGTGGAGTGACGATGTTGACCGGTGAGTCCTAAGGCACAAATGCCTCATTCTCCTCTGCTTTAATAACCTTTCATTTGGATTGGCGGAAGAGGTAAGTGCAGAGGTATATTATAAAAATTCCTGCACATTATAATCAGGGGCTTTTTTGGCTGACAACGAAACAAGTTGTTATTATTGTTCCTGTCTGTTATTACTGTGGTTATCTGATCCTAGCAGAGAGGATCGCAAAGGAAGGACATTTTTTTTTTTTGCAACCCAGTTATTCATCAACTATCTGCATGCTGGCCTTTTCAATTGAATTCATTTTCAACAGTGTGTACTTACTTGGACTCTGTGCAAACAAGGCAAGCAATAACTGAGCAGTACTTAATGTGAAGAAGTTAGTGTTCAGTTTGAATATAGAGATCAATATAGACCTGATGAAGTTCGGAGGGCACAAGAGCCAAAACATTGTGATAACAACAACAAAGATGGGAACAATAGTCTACATGTAAATAAAAAAAATATTACCTATACATTTTTATAGAGAAATAAAATTTCACTGTTAATTACAGAGTAGTTCTCTTTATTTATCTTTCTGTCTGCAAATAATTACAAATTTTATAAATATAAAGGGACTTGATGTCCACTTAATGGTTACAGATACATTTCAAACCTCATCTGGAGTATGACAAGGAGGAAATGATAGCTCCATTTTATTCAATCTTTTCCTAGACTATGCCTTGTGCATTTACAAGCACAGATGTGAAGAGATGGTCACTGTTCACTTAAGCATTCCATAACACATCCCAAAAGAATCTTCAAAAGTAGAAAACAGCAACCCTGCTTTCTTTTCAAAGGCCAATGTGCTGATAAGGGGAGCTTTGCTGATGATATTCATAGTTGGGATAAGAATGATCTTGAACAGAAAACCAACATCCTCTATCAAGTGTTCCAAGTAACAGGATTCACGGTGAAGCTTTCCAAAACAGAAACTATGATCTGGATTTGGAATAAAAGCAGTGATGGAACATATCCAGAATCCATTATAAAAATTGAGTATATGAATTTAGTAAATACTAAACATTTTAAATACCTTGATGTATGAAGAAATTATAACAAATTTAGTATAGGAGATAAGGAAATTCAAGGAAGTTTCGCCCAACACCACAAATTGTTACAAAACCAAAACATTAACCTAAAAACTTGAGTCACATTCTTAAATAACCTCACGAGAGTGAGACTTTGATATGGATGTCATGCTTGGCATGAAATATGTTCAGAAATATCTAAACTGTCAGCTGTATAGAACTGCTTTCTAAGATCAATGGTTAAAAATAGCTTTGTGCAAGTGAAGACTGTGGCTCTTTGCAAAGACCATCCTTCTTCAAACATTGTGAATTAGTGCTACAGAATCTCAAACAAAGAATTGTAACAAATAACAGAAATCAGATCACTTGAGGACTTTCAACAGTAGCAACAACTAAAATGGATATCATATGTTACTGAAAGAAAATAATGACAGGATCAAGATCTTGATGTTCCATACTACTTCAAACAAAAGTTTAGAAAGGAAACCCCATCAATACTAGAAAGAGTGATAACAGCTACTAAACTTGAGAAAACTATTTTCCTGAACAACTGTTTTAAGAGAAAGATTTTATAAATTTCTAACAAATTATTGGCTGCTCGGTCAGTGGATGCAAACAAAGTTGATAGTTTTTAAATAATATATTTTTAAATTGTATTCATCTCTATTTTGATAGAAATAGCAGTTTTGTAAATCAGACAAGCAAATATTAATATTTAAGAAATATCAATATTAAACAAAGACATAACATCTGCTTGGAGAAAACTGAATTTATTATACTTAATTTCTTAAAATAAATTGCTTCAGCTTGGCAACAAAACAATATTGATCATATTGTTTGTCTTGAATTGCCAAAGCTAATCAGGTCAGTTTAACATAGTGAACAGGAAAAGCTTAAGCACAATCTGCAAAAATAGAAAAAAATAATAGTAGATAAATGAAAGTACAGCCTTACCTGTTTCTCCTGGCTTATAGATGGGTTTATCTGATTGTACAAGAATCACCAATAGATCTTGACTTATTTGTAGTCTGTGTTTGCCAGAAAAAGTATATCCATCTTCACCCTCTCCCACAGCTTTTCCTTCTACTTTTAAGGTTGTCATTTTCTTTACCCTCAAAGGAATTTCCACATCAAAACAGTTGCCAACACCTACAAAATAAATAAAATGAATATATGTATATCTCAAACAAAATACTGTCAGAGAATATTTTTAGAGTTAGATTTACGAAAAAAAAAAAAAAGTTTCAGCCATTTATTTGAAAGAGAATTTTCTTTCCATTTTAAGGACACAATTTCTGTCTACCTTTCTGAAACCAGATATCATTACATTACCATTCAATGATTCATATTTTTCAGACTGACATCGGGGACCAAACACTGTGATAAAAACAACAAAAATGAGTGTTCTACTTCCTTCACTTCTATAAATAAATAAATAAAACTGCTATAAACTTAAGTTTCAAATTTTAGTTTAAATATAAAAAAATTAAACTGTTGCATCACATATCAACCACCTTTACCAAACCAAAAACAAATCAGCAAACAGTAACGAAAATTAGCTGCTAGACTTTAAACCAATTTCTTCATAATATACTGTGCTTACCTTGTATATTAGTTGATATAATATTAATGCTGAACATCCTGATAAACTCCCTTGTTAGGTGTCTCCATTAGTGAAGTTGGTGTAATTTCAATGCTATGTATACTGCCAGAAAATATTTTATTGAGTTCAAATCTTCATAAAAATTAAGATATGGACTTCATCATGAAATCAGGACAAGTACATAATAACTGTAATATGGTTCTTTGTAAAAGAAATGTGTGTGATAAATGTTTTAGTCCAAGGATGATGTTGGAAGAATAAACAAATGCTTGTTAAACATGGAGGTATATATAAGAATGCAATCATCTCATTTAATACCAAGGAAAATAAGAAAGTTCCTCAAAAGCTAACAAGAGCTTGCTTTTCCACAGCAAATGTGTGGTCAATTTTCAAAAGTTTCTGATTATGAAGAGACAGATAATCATATTGAAGAAATAGCTCAAATAGACCCAGAGACAAATCTTGCATGATAATAATGTAGAGCAGCAGCAAACCATGAATATAAAAGGTAGATTATCTAATTATAAATTGGTACCAGAGAGGATTGAGCTTCCCAAACCAGAATGAGTTAATTAAATGCAAACTCACAAATAACAACTATTCAGAATAGTGAATATTATAAACTAGGCAAATAAGGAAATAGCTAAAAAAATGAGTACTTTGTGAATATAAATATTTAAACAAGGTGAGCTTTTATAGGTTACATTTGAACATGGAATATTTAAATGGCAAACTAATGAAGTGTAGTAAAGTAAAATTTAACAATTCTAATGTGGCACAAAACAATGATTTCTTTTTTATTTGCATTAGATATCATTGTTTTACTGTTGAAATAGCTTGATGTAACCATAAGTTCTATTCTAATAGCTTCTTTTCTTGCATTTATCACCTGAGACTCTTCTGGTTTCTTGCTTCCTTTCCACCATTGCTCTTCAAAAATTTAAATGCAAAGCTAATCACAATCTTTCATCTTCTTGAATTCTGTTCTTTTATTGTCTTTTCTCCTCACTAACATCTTCTCATTTTCTTTCACTCTCAATAAACCCTTGCATCTTAATGGCATTATTGCCTTGCTTGGGTAGAAATTATTAAAAGAATTTTAAAAAATTAAAATATCAAGTTCATCAGAGGTTCATCTAAGTCAAGCTATCTACATGATAGATTTATACAAATAAAGAATGTATTGGCAAACAAATTTTTACAGCTAGTAATGTGGCAAAGATATTAATGCTGATAATATAAGAAATGATTCTTCTACATGATCTAAAAAAGATCTTTGATTAGCATTGAGAATTACGTTATCACATGGTTGGAACAAAAACCCATATAAAGACTTCATTTTTTTTTTTCAAAGCAAAAGATTTAATAGATTGATTTATTTAAAACCTCAAGAGGCTAATATGCTATCAGGTTATAATTAGAAGCTCTTCTCACAATATGTCTATTACTGTTACTTCAAAATATGATCAAGCACAAGCCTCTTGATATTCTATCACTATTTCCATAGAAAATAGAAAAGACCTGTCATGCCACATATACTGAAGCAAACCACCCTCCTTCCATTTGTAAGAAAATTTCCACTCAAATTGATACTTTCTGGAACCAACTCCCAAGAAGATGCTTTCTCAACCACAACAATCATAACCTCTTAAAGTCTACGGTTAACCATTATATTTCACATAAATTAAACCTCTTACACAACAACCTCCTTCAGTAACCCTCTACTTTGAGTGGTCCTTGGACCTTGTATTGAATGAACATTAGTAAGAAAAAACAAGAAGAAATATTCACAGGTTACCATAGAAACAAACTGCATGGTATAATTACTACTCATGTTAATTTTTGTTCTGGGTCAGAAATTTTTCAAGGTAGTGTTATAGACAAGCTTTGTGAACTATCTGAAGTTTGAAGAAGTGACAATTTAAAAATATCAGATTGGTTATTAAAAAGAATAGGGAGAATATTGGACAGGATAAGTATGTGAAGAAACTGAAATTTATGCTAATGAAAAATAACAAAATGCAAAAGGTAGAATATTAGAATTAGAAATTAGTAAATATTAGAAATCTATATTTCTCATGTTGTCTGTCTGTGTGTCTGTCATGAGCGTTGTTACCTCACCCAGGCCACATTTCTCACTCAATTTCGATGCAGTTTTCAACACAAGTTTGCAAATGGCTGGCATAAGGACATGACAGAGCCCGATTTTTGAGTTTGGAATCAGGTTCCGAAAAAAATCGATAATCGAAAAAATTCTGCTTACAGGAGGAATGATCGCATTTCTACCAAATTTGACACCCTCTTAGAGTCTACCATTAGAAGTGTTATCCAGAAGTGTCATGACCACAGACCCATAAACAGTGTGGATAATCAATAAAACCCAAAAACCGATACGCCCAGATTGCATCTGAACCACATGTCGGTTTTTAGCAAAAACTGAGCGGATTTATGAAGAGGCCGTTGGGAGTCATTATGTGAAGTTTCAACTCTGAGCACCCACCAAACAGAGTGCAAATCGACAATCGGTCAACCCTTAGAAATGTTTTTTCCGTTTTTTTAAAGCTGATCGTATTGTGTTTATTTTGTTTAGTTCTTTTTTCGTAACAGATTTAATGTTTACTATAGAGCTTAGAAAAATTTGGCAGTGTGATATAGGCAAGAAGTAAGGCATGTAACAACATCAGCACGGCAAATGGCACTCCTCTAAAGGCAAGGAAGGGCAAAAATATTTTAAGTGATAGCGATTGCTGTATTAGTCGTACTATTTTTGAATCAAGCACGGGCAACACTGGGTCATGCTGCTAGTTAGAAATATTTTACCAAGATATAGTTTGTCTTAAATCCAAATATAGTGAACATCTGTCTATGTAAAACCTGCTTTCTATAACTCAAAACTGACAATTTGTACATTTGTTATGAGATCCATAAGACTCTTTAAAATTATTTTGTGTTCACCATTTCTATATGATTAAGCAGTCCAGATCATGAACATCATATTCAAAGTATAAAGAGAGTTTTTATTATCAGATTTTATGCAAAAACTTTTTGAAGTTAAAAGTCATGCAAAAAATTTCTACGATTGCACTAAACATGGACCCAGCTTATACACAAGTATATATGCTAAATAAATTGAAAAAAAAAAAAAGAAAAAACCTTTTAAATTTTATAAAAGTTAACAGGGGGTCCAGTTTGCTATGTAAATTCATTATAAAATGATCCCTCTACAAAAGCCAAAACAAAATATAGCATGTGATTTCTTAAAATATAAAATAAAAAATTTGTAATTTGAAGCTATTTTTTCATATATTACTATAGATTAAGCACTCCAAATTACAAAAATAAAAATCCTAATTTTTTTTTTTTTTTTTTTTTTAAATTAAGAAATTGGATGAACATATTTATTTTGGCTTTCAAAAGGGGATCAATTTACATAGTAAACTGGACCACCTTTTTATAAAAATTGATATATTTTTTTTTTAATATATATTCATGATCTCTTGTAATATTTTTGAAAAAATATTACTTCTGGTCAAAGTGCCTATTGTACAACTCTACTGAATTGCCCTTTTTATATGGAGGTATTTGTCTAAAATTTTAGTAGCAGAATTTATTGCATCATACAGCCAGAAATTTTCCATTTTGCAGGTTATTGTTATATTTACTGTATTTTTTCTCCAGTAATAATTTTCTATATATATAAAAAAAATGCTTCCCTCATATTAACTCTTGCCAAACTTTCTGCAACTAAAATACTTTTGATAATTCTTCATGAGCATGAGATAATTCAAGTAATGAGCATGTATTTATCTATAACCAAAAAGATAATCTCAACTATTTTGTGATCGTCCATCTCTCACATTCGCAATAAAATTTCTGAATTCTAGAATTATTATTTGAGACTTTCCTTTTTTTTGCTTTCTTAATTGTTGTTAACTTACTTAATAGTCAACATTTTACAATGTATTCATTTTTTTTTTTTTTTAAATTATTCAAAGATTTTTTTTTTTTTTTTTTTTTAAATCAGAGTGACGTAGAAGATATAAAATAGAAAAACAAATTAGCCAGGTAGACAGTCTATAATTCTGGGAAAAAGGAGGGAAAGAGAAATATTGATTTTCTGAAAATCTTCAAAAAGTATGCATTCCAAATTTTGTCCATGCTGCATTCATTTTTCTTTCTTTCTAACAGTTAAGATAAATTTTGTTTTTATTTTAGAAAATGCTTCTATTCTTTAAAAACTTTGGAGTTCTTTTCTCAAAGCAGACAACTTTTCATTTCTTATTAGATTTGATGTTATAAATTATGTGCTATTTTGAAAGAACAATTTTCTCTATCTTTACACTTTTAATTTTCATTCTTTGAATGAAAAATAAAAAGGTAATAGTCAAAACCAACAGATCTTAGAAAAATTCACGACTGTAAAGTCTAAACCACCAATCATTATGTATGCTCAAAAATTTAAAACTCTTTTCTGAAAAGTAAAAACAGAATATACAGCTGGAAATTTTTGCACACACCTAACATCATTTATGGAAAACATTTTTAA